TGCTATTGGTTCCTGCTGAGAGCATATTGGTAGCAGAATAATAAAATTTTGCCTATATCTTACGATATATAATATTACAATAACAAATAATATAATAAGTACAAATTTATTGAAGAAATGAAATAAAACACTTCTAGATTAATCCGTGTGTGAACGTATCTTACAGGTACTGTTAAATAGAAAAGTAATTAAAATATATAATAAATAATTTGAATTGAAATTTTTGTGAAAAAAAAATTAGATCCTATTATTATTACTTAATTACCATAAATTAATTAATGACGATCTTCGTGGTGTAGTGGTGCGCACTTTGGGTAGAGAACATTGAGAAAAAGACAAAGGGTAGGTGGCGTACAATTATATACAGGGTGTAAGAGACAGGTTAGCAAAAACTGAAACAGTGAATTCAGACCACTATTCTAAACTATTTCTTTATGGAAAATTTCAATTTTTCCATTTAAAATCATGTAATCTATGACATTGTGTCATAATATAAAGAAATAGGAGGGAAAGGGATTGTTAGCAATAGAGTTTGACAGCCCCATTTCTAGCAATATGCCTTATTAGGTTGACCTCCACGTGGTTCCCCCTGAAAACCATCGTGAACAATTCTTGTTGAAATCGTCACGATGGGCCATTTGACCTGCTTCATCCTCACCTATCATCCTTTAATGGTGCCCCGCCAGTGTGTACCGTTAGCGCGGGTGAGGCTACCATTCCATTATCACCCATTAAAAAAAAATATAAAGAAATAATAATATTTTATTACTATGAATATATATATATATATATATATATATATATATATATATATATATATATATATATATATATATATATATGTATATTATGAAATATCAAAAAAACAGTAACAGCAAACGTATCGTTGTGTAGATCGTAAAATTTCAAATACATTGCGCGGCGTCAAAACTAAGAATCGTTAATTATATGGCTGTGGTGCATTTCCGATGGAAAAACAATCTGCCATCTGATTCAGACCACTCATCTGGATCAGCTGTTTTTGTTTTGGCCAGCCTGTCCCTTACACCCTGTATATACTAATGTATACAAATATATATATATATATATATATATATATATATATATATATATAATCAAATATATACATTTGACATACACATATTTTATTGTATTCAACAAATGCGACAATGTTATGAAATCCAAAAAAATAAATGACGTTGTACGTAGTTATTTACAACTAAAAGTAACTATTAGTCACCAGTCACGATTAACAAGAATTACGAAAAAGATTAATTAACAAACTATATCAACTACCTAGATGTCTTAGGAGCCGTGTCCAAATTATTGTACGGATATTACTGTGTGGGTTTAGAGAAGCCGAATTAATTATTTAGCGTCGGTGCGTGACAATCGTCTATATAGTTGGGAGCATGAATAATTTTGATGATAATTCCAATTTTTTTTTATGCTTTTAATTATGTAAACAAAGGTTAGATGTTCTACGCCAACCACGTAAACTTAGATTATATAGACAGTGTCATAGAAATGTTTCGAAAAAAATTGATCAACTTTTTCATACAATATAGTTATGAGTGATTGGGGGGAAAGGGATTGTTAGTAATGGAGACTGATAATCCTATTGCTAGCAATATACCCAACCAGGTCGATCTCCTCGCGGTTCTCCCTGGAAACTATCATGGTTAATTCCTGATGAATTCATCATGATGGGCTAACTGGCCTGTTTTCATTCTCATCTATCACCCTTCACTGGTGCTCCGCCAGGGTATCCCGTTAGCGCAGGCGGGGTTACTATTCCATTTTCATCCACCAAAAAAAAAGTTATGACTGATTGGGGAAAAAGGGATTGTTAGTAATGGGTTCTAACTGTTTCATTGCTAGCAATGTCTAACAGGTCGACCTCCACGCGGTTCCCCCTGGAAACTATCATGGTTAATTCTCACGGAATTCTTCACGATGGGCTAACTGACCTACTTCATCTTCACCTATCATCCTTCACTGGTGTCCCGCCGGTGTATACCGATAGCGCGGGTGGGGTTGCCATTCCATTTCCACCCATTAAAAAAAAAAACAAAGTTATGAGTGATTACTTTATAACTTCTATATTTATTTTGTCTTATAACTTCTGCATCTTTTTAATGCGTAAATATTCATTTTATTTATGAAATAATACGTCAAGATACATTTTATGCGTAAATATATAGAATACTGATAGAAAAAACGAGTCAGCTAATTTGACAATTAGTTGACGAAAAATTGATCCGTTTTTGTTTTTTGAGGCTCAATGCTCTATCTATATAATGTAAGCACATAACAAACATTCATTTGATTACTTACTAGCGACCCGCTTTAGCTTCGGTTGTCAAAATAACCGTGTGAAATCGTGTATAATATGTATTACACTAATAAAATATTTTCAAAAAAATTATCAATACGTATTACTCGATGATAATGTAGTTATTTTATAGGTGAATGAATTTTAAAAGTCGGTTAAAATTTTTTAGCATTTATTAATTAAAAAAAAAATCTCGTCTCTTTATATTTACTAATATACGTATAATAATTTTTGTGACGTTATTATGTAGTATCTATCCTATACAATGTATGTTTGTGCTTTGGATAAATAAATAAATATAAACGTGAAAGTGAGTTTGTTTGTTACCTTATAGCGCCTTCGTTAAGGCTTAAGAAATCACTATATTTGGTATACATGTACTTTTTATTATTATTATATCTTTATTGCACTTGTAAATTACATTGTTAATGCATTTATAAATATTGTGAGCAAGGGTGGACTTATCTCTGACAGAGATCTTTTCCAGTCAACCCAGTGCGGTTAGAAAACATGTTGTTAGCGGGCAGCTGAAGTGCTACAATTATTAATATTTATACTATTAATATATATTTCTTGTCAGTAAAGATATCTCGATCACACGGACGAAATTGCGTACTATATCAGATCGACCTCCACGCGGCTCCCGCTTGAAACCGTCGCGTCCACTTTTGTCGCCGAATATACAGAAAGATAAACTATTTTACTATCTATATCTTTTGAGTGCAATATACCTTAATCATCCAGTCTTTTTTATCAGAGACCTGGCTATTTAAAACGATAGTATTGACGTTATCAGCACTTAGTGGCCAGCATTCGTACGTATTAGACGTGCTTTGTCATATTTGATCAAGAGCTGTGCAATATTTTTTTTTCTTTTTTTTTTTTATAAAACATGAATGAGAATGGCAAAGGACAGTTACAGTATTTTGAGGTACGTTTAAGTAATTACTTCTAAAAAATTTATATGTTTGCTTCAATAGATCTTAATGTAAATGTGAACAAATGAATAAATTGACTGTTTGTGGATTCATTATTTAATGGAATCCACAATTCATATATGAATATAGGGATAATTTTAATCCTTGAAATAATGATTTCGTTTTAAAATAAATATTATTTTATATCCAAAATTTAAATTTAAATTTTAAAATAGGTTACAGAAAAATTCTTAAAGGGAGACTTTGTACGAAAGGATTGACATTCGGTTTCAGGCGTGTTTGCATGGCTGTGTTTCGGTTTGAAGGGTAAAACTATAACACCTGAGTCCAAATACTTTAGTAATATGCAAATCAAAAAACATATTAAAATCACATTTTTTTTTCCCTTGAGTAATAATTTTTTATTTTTCTAAATGAACTGTCAAATCTTAAAATCATTAAACTAAACTGCTAATGAAAGTAGTATATTCATTTATTTAAACATTTATTATATAAGTAGGTCCCAATATGTATATAAATACATATGTATGGAATTTTATTATATATTTTATATTTTATTTAATTGTATATTTGATGATGAGACGATGATGTTAAGAGAAATGACGCTTCAGAATCAATATTAATAATATGCTATTTTCAAAACAGCAAACTAATAAGAACTTTATTTTTAATCATCTTTTGTTATGGTCGTGACTAAGTAATTTATTATTCCGGCTTGAAAGGTTGTGTATTGTATGTTCGACGACTCCGTGAATAGTACCTTTAACAAACTAAATTAATCAAAAATAAAAACAATAAGAAATAGAATAGAAAATATTTATTGCCAGATAAACACATAATTACAGTAGGAAATAAAAATCATTGAATAAATAAATGAGTATACTTTATTTGCATTATACAATATAGGAAATAAGCAAGGCAATTTACAAACACAACGATACATTTGTATAAGTACAGTAAGGCGGTTTTTATCTTTTGTGTCCTTATCTTTTCTTTTGTAAATTATAAAAATATTATATATATAAGAAATATCTCGTATTAGGCAAAAGGAAATGGCTTAGCTGCTGGTATGAGTGTCACAGTGTAATGTGTACAGCTGGATTTCAACCAGTCCATCTCTTAAACATTTGAATATGCTGATTAATTCAGATATATTATTATTCAATATTGTAAATGTGTAAGGAGTTTGTTACCTTATGTTGTAACGCACCTTGTTACCTAACAGCTCAACTAATTGCCATGAAATTTGGTAGTCTACTCCTCACGTCGGTCAATCAACATATCCTAATTATGAGTCCTTTTCAAAACTATTTGAAAACTTCCTAAAACTCAAAAAAAGTTAAGTTTTTAGTAAGTCAACTCTTTCAATACAATGGCAACAGGTCAATAAATGCCAGCGGCCCTATTTTTTATCTGAAAGGATATGCTTTCATGTGATGTTTCCATAGAAATTTTATCAATTATGACTCAGTAGTTTAGTTTTTAGGAAATAAAAATAACTCGTTTTGCCACTGGATTGGACTCTTAACATATTCGAAAACAGATATCCGACCGATATGGACGATTTCGAAATAGCTGATGACCTTTTTTCCACTATCAACGTTCAGACGAACTCAATATATTGATATTGGATCGGTATCCATATTAACCAAACAATCATATTTGCCACGATTGTAGTTGGTGTTTTTTATGGAACAGTATAATTGTAATGGATCCTTACTTTACAGGAAGTGAAAGAAGAATTAAACAAGAAGAAAGAAGATGACGGGGACATCCTCGAGACGATATTGTCGCACGTGGGCGAGATGGGTCGCTACCAGAAGTGGTTATTCGTTGGCATGATGCCGTTCGGGTTGTTCTTCGCATACGTGTACTTCGTGCAAATGTTCATAGCGGCCACACCGCAGCGGCACTGGTGCACCGTGCCTGAACTGCAGCACCTACACTGGGAACTGAGGTTTGTATATTTCATTTTCTCAGGAAAGCTAAATATGGGGGTTGTTATGTAACTCGGATTGGCAAACGAGCTGACAGGCTGATATATTTATTTATAGGAAAACCAGGGCTACACTAGAGCAAAAAAATACAGTTTAGGATCACAAAATAAGCCACTAATAGGTTTTCACAAGTAGCAACAATATAGATACAAGGCACTAAGTACACAAAGCAACAAAAGTAGGAGTTAACAAAGAAGTAATATGAACAAACAAGAACGAAAACAAAAAAAAAAATTATGAATAAAATACAAAGTAAAAATTTATTACAAGTATTTGATTAAAATATGGCCTTCTTGTCCATACAATAGTTATTCAAACTGACTATGAATAAAAAATTGCCTACTCAGTTGGTCTCTCACTGATATTATGTTTTTCGAAAATAGATCTATATTAAGACTTTTAGAAATAATATTCAAGTTGTTGCTAGCTCGCCAAAGGAACGAATTTTGTCTATAATTCGATGACACTAGTGGGATAAATAGAGTAGAATTATGCCTTCTAGACTTAATTGGTACATTTACTGACTGATTTACCTACTCTGTCTCAGACAATAATACATAGGGGTAATTTTCAGCAAGTGCGACCCCGGTTGAGTTTAGGCGGACCTTTTAACTGTGGTTTATACATGGTATGCCCAGAAAAGTTGATATCTCCGAATTATGGAAGGAATCTATTATAAAATACTCTCTAGAGACATCAACATTTGTTCTCAAGACTCGAAATCGTAAAAGTTTATCAAAATTAGACAGATAGGTCCTATGGAATTTATTTGTTTATTCGCTATAAATTAATCGTCTTATTGTTAGTCTAGTCCATGCGATAGAATGAGATGGGCACATACCCTGTCTTCTTCTTTCTCACGTGAGCGGTGACCTGATCCGTTTCCATGACACTTTATTATTTCAATAATTAAATATTCTTCTATTTAAACATTCATTCTTTTAAGAGAATTTATTTCCCATTTATTTAGTTTTCAAAGTAATGTAAATGACAAAAAAATACCAAACCAAACCCAGCTCAAAATTTCGTGTACCAAAAATATAGAAACGACAAAATATTTTGAACGCTCCATACTAACTAAATAAACAACTGGCCGCGTCGTGTTAGTATGGTTGCTTCAGCTTGTATTTATCTAAATCAAATAAGTCTTTTTGTTAGACGCACTCATCTTTTTTAGTGAAAAAGTCAAAGAATGCTAATGAATTTACTGGGTACAGGGGAATTACACCTGTGTCCTCAGGAATGGCAACGCATGAGGGGTATCATGGGCGAAACAGTATACTCTGTTATGCTCATGTTTATAGGCGTCGGTTACCACTTTCCATCAGGTGGACCGTCAGCTTTTTTGCCATTCTAAGTTGTATATAAAAAAAAAGATTACTATATCACCTGCATAAAAAAATATAAGCGAATCGAGAACCTCTACTTTAAAAGTTGCAAGAGAAAGGTACAGACAGGTCGCTCTCTTTCGGATTTCAAAAACACGACTTCTATTGTAGATGATTAGTGGGAGGCATTAATAGACTGTTTTTCAATAAATCATTTATGTGCATAAACATAGGTACAGTTATAAATTTGATGTAGTAGGATGTGTAAAGAGCTATGTTCTTCCGTCATTGGGTATATAAATATTGTTATTATATAAACGCGCGTTAAATTATGATTTTTAATAATAATAATTACAATAATAAATAACTGTTGCCATGGTAACTGGCAGAGTTAACCTATAAAATTGGTATTGATTACAGTAGTATGTACATTTATGCTTGTTTATCTATATCTATATTTATAACTTTAATAATCGAGAAATAATTAGGTACATATTTGTCTGAAACAAAATAACTTACTGCTAATTTTGATTTATCTCTAAGAAGATTGTTAAAATAATACTCACATTTCCAAGCATGTTTTTTTTTTGATGGATGAAAATGGTATGGTAACCCCGTCTGCGCTAACGGGATACGCTGGCGGAACACCAGTAAAGGGTGATAGATGAGAATGAAAACAGGCCAGTTAGCCCATCATGATGAATTCATCAGGAATTAACCATGATAGTTTCCAGGGAGAACCGCGAGGTGGTCGACCTGGTTGGGTATATTGCTAGCAATAGGATTCTCAGTCTCCATTACTAATAATCCCTTTCCCCCCTTCCAAGCATGTTTGAGAGGTAACCATTAGAGCTATTATAATATGGTAAAGTTGCCAGTTTTGATATAACGATTTAAAACATATCATCATCGTCTTAGCCATTATCTGTCCACGGTAACGTAGGCCTGTCCCTAGGTCCTGACTCCCTGCAATGAATTTGATGTCGCCACTACATCTAGTGGGGAGTCGTCCCATACAACGTTTGCCCGGACGGGGTCGTCACTTAAGAACCTTTCTTCCTCATTAGTTGTTAGTTCTTTTATATGACCAGTTCATTGCCATTTCTTCTTAAAACATATAGATGAAAAAAATTTGTAGACGCAATCTGTCGGTGCCAGCAGCGACGGCGGTAGGCGATCCATGGGACAAGTGCTCCACCTTCAACGCGAACTGGAGCCAGGTGCTGGAGAACATGGCGCCACCGGCCCTGAACAGCACGGTGCCCTGCCAGTACGGGTGGGAGTTCGAGCTCAGTGATATACCTTATCACACTGTTGTCAGCGAGGTGAGAAACAGTTCTATTTCAGTATTAATTACTAGCTGTTTCCCGTGACTTTGCCTGCATGCATTAGTATATAAAGCACCCTATGTGTTATGTTTAATTAACCTACTTATATATTAAATTTCATTTAAATCCATTCAGCTGTTTAAGCGTCTTTGAGTAACAAACATACAAACATTTTTACAACTTTTCATATTTACAACAACAGTAGGTTGTATGATTTTTACGAAATTTTGTTTAACTTATTTTTTACAAGTTTTTATTTAACTTGCTTTATTTCTTCATTTATTTATTTGGTCCGTGTGGTTCCGGCATAGAATAAGCCATTCCTTCCATTCCCGTGGGTATCGAAAGAGACGACTAAGGGAGCGCGAGGGATGGGCAGCAGCGTCTCTCTTAAAACATCTCTAAAGCCTAACTGCGGTTGTTAATCTGCCTGCCAAGCGTGGCAACTACTGGCAAAACCTTCCCAAGGGGAAGGCTTATGTTTAGTATTAGACCGTTAAGAGCTGATATGATGATGATGAGTTCTTTATTTAATACTAGCTTTTACCCGCGACTTCGTTCGCGTGACGGGGATATATTTACTAATCGGGATCAAAAGTAACCTATATTCTATACCACGTACTATATGGGATATCAGATCAGATGTTCCATGGAATCCGATTTCTCATCGCACAATCTGGAGTGTATGCGAGGATAGGTCTATCTTGTATAGTATATGTCTTACTGGTATATGTCCAGTTAAGGCAATCGTTATGCGTCTTGTCTGTGGTCTGCCACCACTATAGAGGAGTTTATCCCATCCCTCAGTCTTGTCGTTTAAGAACTTTTTAGAATGCTTGTTGTTGTTAGACCTTTCAAAGTATACTTATGTAGGCTCGGCGACGTTAAAAGACGTTACAATGTCGGTTTGAACGGTGGGATATGGCGTGAATTTACTGGGTACAGAGGAATAACACCTGAGTCCTCAGGAATGGCAACGCATGGGAGGTATCATGGGCGAAACAGTATACTCTGTTATGTCCATGGTACTGCTCATGTCTATAGGCGACGGTTACCACTTTCCATCAGGTGGGCTGTCAGCTCGTTTGCCATTCTAAGTTGTATAAAAAAAATATTATGGCAATGTTCTTTCAAACAGCGTGGATGGGTGTGCCAGAATGCAGGCTTCGGGCCTATCGCGCAGTCGGTGTTCTTTGCCGGCTCCTTCGTGGGCGGCTTGTTCTTCGGCTGGCTGGCCGACACCTTCGGACGAGTGCCCGCATTGGTTGGTAAGAATGTTAACTACTGGCAAACAAACCATTGTCTATTGGCAAACAAATTCTGACTCTCTTTCAAGGGTGAAACTGAGAAAGTTCACTTAAACTTGAATTTTGTCTTAAACGTTTTTAGTACATTTATTATCTAGCAACGAAGAAGGCTAAAGATATTTGAGCACGCAGCCGAAGTCCCTAATAGTAGTTTTCTATTTAAAAGTTACTGTGTAGTCCCGGTATAGATAGGGCCATCCTTTTTTTCCCGTGGGTGTCGTAAGAGGTGATTAAGGGAACTTAATGGTCGAGAGATGGGCAGTAGTGTCTCTTTTTAAACATTACTAAAGTCTAACTGAGTTTGCCAACCCGCCTGCCAAGCATGGTAACTACTGGCAAAACTCCCCCTTATAGAGGAGCCCTATATTCAGCAGTGGATAGTTAACAGTTGATATGAAGATGACATAAATAACTTATGTATGACAGGGATATTTCTGATACGGACCAGTGAAGAAGGAAGACGTACCTTAACCCCATGTAAATAAGAAAGAAATAAGAAAGGCAAGGCAATTTTAATCACAATAGAAATATATATATATTTTCGCCAGGGTCGAACATCATCGGATGTGTTGGCGGGGTCGCCAGCGTGTTCACGACTGGGCTGTGGGATTTTGCTTTCTGCAGATTCCTCGTCGGCATGGCGTATGATAGCTGCTTCATGATGATGTACATTTTAGGTAAGTTCAATCGTTTAAAGTCACACTGGTTAAATGAGAAGAGGGAATTTTTGTCTGTAAGGCCTTTCCTTAAAAATGGTCTGGATTTTTATAAAAAGGTGACAAATGTACTCCCAGACATGTCTTTCCGAAGCTTCGCTCACTTCCTAGATAGGGTACTAGACAATTCTGGTATGGGCATAAGCTACCCGATCCCCGTCCAAAAGTCCACCCATGAAGGAGTCATATTCGCACGCACGTTACTTTTTTCGGTTCGTTTAGTCTGGGAATAACAGAAAGTCTTAAAACAAAATGTAGTGTAATAAAATGTTCACTTATTTAATGTATCAAATATATCATTCTTGAATCACTAACTTGATCACCAATGCGATAGACTGACATCAAAACGGCTACACAGCAGTCTATTGTGGAATGCTTTCGCTCGGCTGTGAGCAGAAATAGATGGAGATGCATAGCGAGGACCTCAATCGCGAAGGATGGCCTTATCGACGATCCACTATCATTATAAAAACTACGACCGCTCTGTCAAGAGTGTACGATTGAAGAGAGATATCATTCTTTGAAGGGAACAATAAAGAGTTTTCAATCATTTTATTAAAAATTAAATATAAAAACATCTCATATCTAATGTTCCCAAACTTCTGTTTCCAGTTTTAGAATACGTAGGCCCCAGACACCGTACATGGGTAGCCAACATGTCTATTGCGCTGTTCTTCGGCTCCGGTTGCCTGATGCTGCCCTGGCTCGCGCTGTGGATAGCTGACTGGAGGCAGCTTGTGCTGGTGACTTCATTACCCATGCTGGTAGTGTTGGCAGCTCCATTCTTAGTACCTGAGAGCGCTAGGTGAGGTATAATTGCAAGAGATTGAGAGTTTGAAATTCTATTTTTTTTATGTGAATCCTGAAATTCTCTTGTTGGTTAGTGATAATAAAGTGGGCCGTCAGCTTGTTTGCCATTATAAGTTGTATAAAAAAATGGCCGTAAAAGTATATGTACCTCTTCTACAGGAGTCAATTTATCTTTATAATTTATTATTACTAGACGCGAATGTGGGGTCACGCGGGGCCCCTCATTAGTCTGTGTAAACATGGATTGTAATAGTCAATATTTGCAGATGGCTCTCATCTCGCGGCCGGATCAATAGAGCCGTGGATGTGCTAAAGAGGTTCGAGCGGGTCAACGGCACAAAAATACCTCAGGATGTCTTAGACGAATTTGTCGTAAGTGCTTTTTCATTTATATATTTATTCTTTATTGACCACATTATAAAAAAAAATGTCTGGTACAAAAGGTGGATTTAATACTATATAACATTCTCTCCCAGTCAAACTTTGGCCAAACAGAAATGTAATTATGCAGTGAAAAAATTTTGAGAATTGTAAAAAAGCAATTCATTAAATATGTAGAGGTGTAGATGTGGGCTTGATGATATTTATATATTAGATTCAGAAGGAGTGAGAAAAAGAAAGATTTAGTACGAGATTGTATAATTTATAATATTTACAGTAAATAATTCCAGATATAATAAGTCGCGATACAAAATATTGTTCGGTAAAATTCCTAAGACAAGGAGATTGTCAAGAACGTCACTATTTTCTTTTATATTATGAAAAATATTAGTACTACCTATATTAAAATGTGTTTGTAGACGTCTTTATAAAGAGAGACTATTTTTGTGTATTTATTTTATCTAGGAGACTTTGTACAAAAGTCGATTGCTTGGGTACCTCTGTCCTATTCCGGTTTGAAGGGCTATGGCGTGAATTTACTGGGTACAGAGGAATAGCGCCTAAGTCCTCAAGAATGGCAACGCATGGGGGGTATCATGGGCGAAACAGTATACTCTGTTATATCCATGTTGTGTCCATGACTCGTGTCTATGGGCGACGGTTACCACTTTCCATCAGGTGGGCCATCAGCTTGTTTGTCATTCTAAATTGTATAAAAAAAAGAGGTGTTGGGGGGAGGGGGAGGATATATTATGTTTGTTATTGATCACATTTACAAAAACAATATTTGGTACAAAAGGCGAACTTACTGCTATAAGCATTTTTTCCCAGTTGACCTTTGGGGGAACTTAAATATTTTCATATAAAATTGTCAATTGGGGTTTTTTCTTTTCAAGAAGGCAAAGGTAGCAGACAAGCATACAGCCTATCTGATGGTAAACGGTCATTGTAGCCTATAGACGCCTGCAACAAACACTAGAGAGGTGTTACGTGCTCGTTGCCAACCCTGAAGATATAAAGTTGCAAATATTTTGAGACTTTCGTATTTATAAGGTGTCGTCGCGTCAAACGAGACAAACCAACGAGTCTCTAGCGTCGGTGTTCAAGAGTTCGCCTTTACGGAACGCAATGATCTTCATGGTGATCGTGTACATGGCGTGCGCGGTCATCTTCGACGGGCTGGTGCGCATGTCCGAGGGCCTGGGGCTGGACTTCTTCATCACGTTCACACTGACGTCCGCTACTGAGATACCGTCGGTCACTCTACTGGCGTTGGTGCTTGACAGGTAGGTTAGTTATGTTGCGTGCGGTAAGTAATGTCACAGTATCTTACTAATATAGTAAAATTGCAGATGACAGACAACATCATCAACATGGGAGATATTTAGGAAAAAATACAAGGGAACTTAATAATAGGCATGGGTAATTTGGATACCAATTCGATATTTATATATATATATATACTATACAACTTAAACCCTGTTATTAGCCTTAATATTTTAAATACTAGTATGTAAATCTTAACTGTAACACCGTTGGTTTTTAATAAATAAATAAATACAACTTAGAATGGCAAACAAGCTGACGGCCCACCTGATCGAAAGTGGTAACCGTCGCCTATAGACATGAGCAGTACCATCGACATAACAGAGTATACTGTTTCGCCCATGATACCCCCCATGCGTTGTCATTCCTTAGGACTCAGGTGTTATTCCTCTGTACCCTATAAATTCACGCCATATACCACCCTTCAAACCGAAACATAGCCAATATGTAATATTTATATATTGGTTTCCTCTGGACATTGACGGCGGAAAAAAGGTCATCACCCATCTCGATATCGCCCACGTCGGTCGGATATCTATTTTCGAATATGTTAGAAGTCTGCTATCCAATATTATTTTTTGGATAACAGACTTTTGACATATTCGTTATTGGACTAGAATACAGATATTGTAATTAAAATATATAGATATTGCTATATATTACCAATCCCTACTTAATAAGACATATTTATTTGGCATCACACAAAAACAACTGCACCAAATGGAACGCGATTTTTACAGTCCTGAAGGTCTAACTTAAAATCTGATGTATGTTTCATTTTGATAAACCATTTTGAAAATGTATTTCACACGTGTTATATATTAGATAATATATAGATAGATACTGTTTATTGTTTCCTCCATAAGATTACAATAGTAAACTTATTATAAATACAAACAATTACAAGAAATGATCACAATGAGATAACAATGGGCGACAATAATAGCATACTGGCATGCTCGTTTAAGTATGAAAAAACCCAATTTTTTTTATTGTTTTTAATTATTTTATATTTGATTCATAATTTTTTTGCTCTGATATATTTTATTTTATAACGGGGGTACATTCTTTGCTTTAAATATTCGTATATTATGATGCAGGTGGGGTCGCAGAGTGCTGACGTGTGGACCTATGGCCATTGCTGGTGTCCTATCATTAATAGCCGCCTTCGTTCCCAAAGGTACAATGCTTACAAATTGTATATTATAGTTAAAAAAAAAAAACGTTTGCTCTACGAGTATCTCATCTCATCAGGCGTTAACTGTCACCATCTGAACATAATAAGCCTCTAACACAGCGCGTGCAGCTGTCAATTCAGTATGTTCAGTAAGTACTAAATTTTTTGTCCGATGTATCTTTGACATTTTTTTTTTTAATTCACTGGTATAAAACTCCTTTTTTTTTAATCAATTTTTTTTTTTGTGGATCGTACATTAGTAAAAAATAATAGAATAACTAATAATAATAATAATGTTTATTTATTTCTGTCAATTTTTTTGAGTACAATGAACAATTTATAATTGTCCCACTTTATACTGCCTTATGCAAAATGCATGCAAAACGAAAGCTAAGTAAATTATCACAATATTAAATTAAAACAAACATATTCATTTTTAAAGCAATGACAGTTTAATCAATAAATAATTATTATTTTATTATTATTATTATTCAACCGAATTCCAAAAGAATAAAGTTTCAATTCGATTGTATTTTTTATGTTTATAACCTTCTAACTTCGTCAGTTGTAATTCTATTTGGAAAATTCTTTTTTATCTGAAAGGATACACTTACAGATTACTTACATAGAAATTTTACTACAATCGATTCAGTAGTTTAGTTTTTAAATCAAAATAACTTGTTTTACTAGAATTGAAGTCGACTTATTTCGTTGAAGTTCTTTTCTCAATTGAGATCCTTTTTTTTTAAAGTCGGCTGCAAAGGATACTTGCTGATCATCTACTTTCCCTTAGGCTTTGCTCTCAGTGAAATTAAAAATTTTGAAAAGAAGAGACTGTCAGATAACTCCATTTAAATACTTAAAGATACTGATAAATCATGTTTCTTTTTCTTTTTATTTTTTTTTTATTTAATTATCTCTATTGATCAAAGAAAAAATATGGTACAAGAGGCGGAATCAATGTTAGTAGAATTTAAGTGTAATTTTTTGGTTTTGACTCTTCAGAATAGTTGATGTGTCCGAAAAGTATTATTCTTTCTATATTTCGTTCACATCGCCTTTTTGGAAAGTGGACAAAGTTCAAAGCACAGTTGATAGGTCCATTGAGCACGGTCTGAGGTCGCATTTATTGAAAATGACACGTGTTCGTCTCTTACCAGGCATACCACAAGTGTCGCTCGCGATTATGGCGCGGTTCTGCATCAACATGTCGTACAACGCCGCGATACAATGGTCCACGGAACTGCTGCCGACCGGCGTCCGAGCGTCCGGCACTTCGCTCATACACGTCAGCGGCTATATCGCCACTGTGGTCTCGCCATTCATCGTCTATTCTGTGAGTTGTATAATCTGCACTTTTTACCCAACTGTGTTAACCCTTCTTTGGATGATTTTTTTTATTGGTGAAATAAATCAAGGTGATATAATTCATGTTTGAAATTAAAGGAAAAATGGTTAAAAAAATAAATTTTACAGCTATGTATTTTTTTTCTGCAATGGACATTAAAAAGGTATCCAGACACGATCAACTTACAGTGAACTTGTTCTTTTATATAATTTTTGGGCATTCAATGTTATGATGGAAATTTCCACCATTATGCAAAGAAGGGTTAAATCACTACATAGTATAAAACAAAGTCGATTCTCGTCTGTCTCTACTCTATGTATCTTTAAAACTACGCAACGGATTTTGATGCGGATTTTTTTAATAGATAGAGTGATCCAGGAGGAAGGTTTTTTAATGGCTGATAATGAAATGGTAACCCCGCCTGCGCTATCGGTATACACTGGTGGGGTATCAGTGAAAGGTGATAGGTGAGGATAAAAGCAGGCCAGTTAGCCCATCGTGACGAATTCAACGTTAAATTAGTCACGATAGTTTCCAGGAGCCGTGTGGAGGTCGACCTGATAGGGTATATTGCTAGCTATGGGGTTATTAGATCCCCAATACTAACAATCCCTTTCCCTCCCCCAAGAGGAAGGTTTTGTATGTGTAATACATGCATAATATAGTAGAGAAACACTGATAATTTTAGAGGTTTCTAATGTGATGTCGTAATGTAAAGAAATAGGAAAACTGGTAGTAAATTAAATGTAAATTAAAAAAAAAAATTAAATGTAAATAAAATATAGAATAAGTACCCTAGCCAAGATAATATATTAGATAGTAAACTAGATTGGAAATAGAATAGATTGTTCATATTAAGATACTAGGGATGGGCACAATATCTATATAATAGGGGGAAAGGATTGTTAGCAATGGAGTTTGACAGCCCCATTGCTAGCAACATGCCTTATTAGGTCGATCTCCACGTGGTCCCCCCTGGAAACCATAGCGAACAATTCTTGTTGAATTCGTCACGATGGGCTAACTGACCTACTTCATTCTCATCTATCATTCTTCACTGGTGCCCCGCCGGTGTATACCGATAGCGCGGGTGGGGTTACCATTACATTATCATCCATTAAAAAAAAAATCTATATAATGGTTCAATAACAAATATGGCAAAAAAATGATATTGGATAACAGACTTTTAACATATTCGAAAATAGATATCCGACCGATATGGGCGATATCGAAATGGGTGATGACCTTTTTTTCGCAATCAATGTTCAGAGAAACCCAATATATAGAAGTCAGATATTACCATGCCTGCTATGTACTTTTTTGTTATAACATCATGTCGGCATGGTTATGACAGGAGCGACTGTGGAGCTCCCTGCCGCTGCTGCTCCTGGGCGTGACGGCGCTGGTGGCGGCCTCTATCGGCGTGCTGCTGCCCGAGACGATGGGCCGCCCCATGCCGCAGTCCATTGCGGACGGCGAGCGGCTCGTCAGGGAACACTCGTTGTGCGGGTCAGCATTTTTATGAGCTTTTGATCAGGATATAGTTACTGACTGGGATAGAATGTAAGCTTAACTTCAACGCCGGGGAACGCTGTATGTGGCCCGGCATAGAATGGGCCACCCCTTCCTTTCCCGTGGTTGTCGTAAGAGGCGACTAATGGAGGGCGAGGGACGGGCAACAGCGTTCTTCTTAAAACATCTTTAAAAGCCTAACTGTGGTTGCCAACCCGCTTGCCAAGCGTGGCAACAACTGGCAGAACTCCCCTTATAGGGAAGGCTTATGTCCAACAGTGGACAGTTAAAGGCTAAAATAATACGTCCTTCTCCACTGCATATAGTATATTTATTCCAAATTTCATAGTGTTTGGTCAAGACGTTAAGACGCTATAAGGCAGCAAACAAACAAACAGACTCACTTTCTTATTTGTAATATTAGTAAAGATTTTTATTTATGGAGAAGCCTATGTTTTTCATTGGGCACTTAACGGCTAATAGAATGATGATGATATTATATTTATCTGTACTTTATTGTCAGTTGGTTCTTCTAACATTTCTTCATGACCAACATTCTCCCGAAGCAATTTTTAAAAGTAGTACCTTTGAAAGTAAAGCATGACGTTTATATATTATATATGTTTGCATGGCTGTGTTTCGGTTTGAAGGATGGGGTATGGCGTGAATTTACAGGGTACAGAGGACTAACACCTGAGTTCTCAGGATTGGCAACGCATGGGGGGTATCATGGGCGAAACAGTATACTCTGTTATGTCCATGGTACTGCTTATGTCTATAGGCGACGGTTACCACTTTATATCAGGTGGGCCGTCAGCTTGTTTGCCATTCTAAGTATATATATATATATATATATATATATATATATATATATATATATATATATATATATATATATATATATATATATATATATATATATATATATATATATATATATATATATCTGGGAAAGGAGACATGGGGAGAGGAAACTGAAAATCTATCTAAATCTAATTTTTAAAAGAGAAAGGAGGACAATGAAATTAAGAGAAACAAACGTAATACATAACTGTACTGTAATTGTTTGTTCCCAGGAAACCTGAAGAGGTGGATGCGGAAGAATGGAAGAACAAGGAGAATTCACTCATCACGTAGCGCTGGTGTTGCCAGCTCCAGGTTACATAGTATGCTACCTATTATTTAGGTACCGTTTAGTCTCTATACCAGTCTCCCAGATAGTGCATATTTTTCGTGATATATTAAAAATATTTTTGTTAGGACATACTTTGGGCTTAGTGTAGTAATATTGTACATTAAAATTTATATAAATTTTCCTAAAGGAATAAATATATTTTTCTTTCTTTTTTTTTACTTTTAACCCTTTTTTGCATGATTTTTTTTTATTGGTGAAATAAATTAAGGTGATATAATTCATGTTCAAAATTAAAGAAAAAAAATGGTTAAAAAATAAATTTGATAGCTGCGTTTTCTTTTTTGCAATGAACATTAAAAAGGTATCCAGACACGATCAACTTAAAGTGAACTTGTTCTTTTCTATAATTTTTGGCATCTTATGTTATGATGGAAATTTCCACCACTATGCAAAGAAGGGTTCAGTCAAAATATGGTTTTTACTATCAGTTAAATTACTTTTATATTTTTTACCCACAATTTTTTTGTCTAAAACTTACTACGTTGAGCCCTATAACCTAATATAATTAGGTCTTTACTATATCAAATATAGTAAAGTGTTTAATTCTGCTCAGTTAGTGTTGTCAATTTTAATATAAACACTCAATTATCTATATAATTTAGCTTTAAATAATATTGAGAGAGAGAGACAGAGAGAGAGAAGCACGTTTTGTTATTAAATAAATTGTTAGTTTTAAATGTATGTATAAGGGCCTATTCTAAAGTGTCATTTCTCTAAATTTATCTCTTAATCTAATATTTTAAATTGATAATTTCGCAAAATTACTATTTTATGGACCATCAGAAGTTAAAATTATAATAATTTTGTGTTAAATCTGTTAGTTATTTTGAAAATTAATTGATAGTCCTTACAATAAAGATTTCGCTGTGATATCAATTTTTTTTTTCTGTTTATAAATAATAATAATAATTTATTCAATAAAAATATACAGATGCAATTACTAGATACATATAGATTACATATTGATTCACAGTAAGTGTCTCTGGTCTCCATGCTAGGAAAGTCCTGTATTTTTTTTTGATGAAAAATCCTGCGCTAACGTTGGCGGAGCACCAGTGAAGGGTGATAGATGAGAATGAAAACAGGCCAGTTAGCCCATCATGATGAATTCATCAGGAATTAACCATGATAGTTTCCATTTCCCCCGAAAATCCTGTATTATGAAGGTCAGGCTACCGTATTTTACATAATTAAATTTCTTATATAAGTTTAAGGAATAACAGAAATTATACAAATTAAGGTTAAACTACGAATGATAAATGTTATTTACATATATAGATAACAATAATAATAAATATAAATAACAACAATATTAGTTTGAAATAATACATTTACTGCCCTTATGTTATATGTGAACTAGGCCATGTATTATGAGTACATGAGCTATTTGCATTTAGAAGAAAAAAAAGTAGAAAGAAAAGTAGGATATATGTTAGGTAATAGAAATTTTAAGTTTAGAGAAAGATTTAGAAAAGTGGTGCATCAGAATTGACCGCATTGTTAAAATAAAAAAAAATAATAATAACATAAAAACAATAATGTTTTTACCACAAAAGATTGTTAGGATCTATCTATAATGTTAAATTATGTATACCTATTTTTTTAATGTTTAATTAAGTCTAATTATTCTATAACTTTGAATATTTTTATGTCAATTATGTACGAATAAATATGTTGTGATCTTAAATTATATAGATGGAGCACCGAGTGTTAAAAACGTCAACATTTAGGCAGCTAAATTGCCCAGATTAGATCGATTTTTGAAATATGAATTGGAAACTATATTTTGTGATATAATATAAATATAAAATATGTACGTGTTGCTTACAAATTAATATATATGTATTAATTAATATGGCATTTAATAATTTTTAAACGAAAACATATTTTAAGCCAGTTATAAATTAAAATAATTAGTAAAGATAAAAATAATTGTGAATCTTTATGCATTTTTCACGCTGTTATTATAAAAAATATTTGGAAAATTTTTATATCGTTTTTATTTCAATCTTACTAGTATTCTGAGTAATACATTAACATTATAGTTCTTAGTGAATGATTATTGAATGGTAACACCGCTTGCGCTATCGGTATACGTCATAGAACACTATTACATATTCAACAAGAATTATTACGATGGCTTCCAGGGTAAATCGCGTGGAGGTTGACTTGACAGGGTATTTTGCTTGCACTGAATTTAAACGTCCCCATTACTAACAATCCCTCTCGCCCCGTTATCATTACGGTAGGGTTACCGTAATGTTCAGTTTAATTCAGACAAACATGGATAAAAAAGTTAACCTGTTTTTGGCGAAGCGTTTATGTGAAGACGCTCTATCTATATAATTTAAAATCGTGTAAATATATGATCGAATTGAAATGGCAATATATAAGGTACATATGTACGTATTATTTTTTTAAAAGTTTTGCATTAAAAAAAATGGTTGTTACTTATCTTGCTCAATAAATAAATTTAATCTTTATATATATTGTAATTTCTTATAGGATGGATTGTGAAAAGCTCCCTTATTTGGTAAATATAATAAATAAAATTATAAATAATCACTCTGCAAAATATAATTATATGCTTAGATACTTAACTGTTTTTATTGCAGAAAAGGCAAAGGTGCTACGTAACGTAAGGTATATATATATATATATATATATATATATATATATATATATATATATATATATATATATATATATATATATATATATATATATATATATATATTCTTTATTGCACTTGTAAGTTACATATAAAATAATGTATTTATAAATGTTGTGAGCAAGGGTGGACTTATCTCTGACAGAGATCTCTTCCAGTCAACCCAGTACAGTGAGAAAGCATTTCGATAGCGGGCAGCTGAAGTGCTACAACTATTAATACATAAACAAATATACAGTTAAATAAAATATTAAAATATATAATAAAATATTACCTACCTACTTATATAATAAATGTTAAAATAAATGAATATACTACTTCCATTAGAAATTTCGTTTTATGATTTTAAGATTTGACAATTCAATTAGAATTTAATACGTGATAAAGAATCTGGTGATTTATATATTAAAAATACCATAGGTACTATAAATAAGTGGATGCATGCCGTTAAGTACCTATATAGGGTGTAAGGGACAGGTTGGCCAAAATGATAACAGCTGATCCAGATGAGTGGTCTGAATCAGATGGCAGATTATTTTCCCACCGGAAATGCACCACAGCCATATAATTGACAATTCTTGTTTTGACACCGCGCAATGTATTTGAATTTTACGATCCACACGACGTATATCTACATCTATAGCACGCAGATAATGGCGCTTCTTCGTAGGTAATTTTCGTAGGCTTATGGCGTTGAGCTTACACAGCTCATTCCGTACGTCACTGTAAGATTTTAATACAAATATTTTTTTTTGATGGGTGAAAATGGTATGGTAACCCCGCCTGCGCTAACGGGATACGCTAGCGGAGCACCAGTGAAAGGTGATAGATGAAAATGAAAACAGGCCAGTTAGCACATCATTATGAATTCATTAGGAATTAACCATGATAGTTTCCAGGGAGAACTACGAGGAGGTCAACCTGATTAGGTATATTGCTAGCAATGAGATTTTTAGTCTCTATTACTAATAATCCCTTTCCTCCGTAATACAAATATTACTTTGTTGTTTTTTTTTTATGTTCCATAGTATTTCACTATAAAATATTATTATTTCTTAATATTGTGATATAATGTCATAGGTTACATGATTTTAAATAAAAGAGGAACAGAGTTTGAAATTTTCCGCACAGAATTTCCACTGGTTTCCATTTCAGAATAATGGTCCAAATTTATTGTTTCAGTTTATGCCAACCTGCTTTTTACACCCTGTATATTGAATGCTACCTTTTCATTAAAGTAATGATTGAAATTCGTTTGTCGATTTTTATTAATAGGTATATTACTTATGTACCTATTTGTAAAAAGGATATTTATTATCTGTTTACGATATAAATTTATGTAAACATTGTTTTTTTTATAAAATACATAGCTAACTGAATAGTACGTACTAGAACTAGTGCGTATCTAATTTTGTTTCAGATGTACAACTATAATATATATTATATAGCGAGTTATTCAACTTGTGGTGTGGCATTGCCTGTTACGCTGATTTCGGTATTTATCACTATTTTTTTTATACCACTGAGGAACAAGCATACGGCCCACCTGATGGTAAGTGGTTACCGTAGCCTATGAACACCTGCAATACAACTAGCCACTGCTGAATATAGCCCTTCCCCTTGGGTATTTTGTAGTATATATATATATATATATATACCATATTTGTGTCCACTACTTTGTACGTGTGAATGAAGATGACGTCTTAATATAAAATATATACTCCATTTTAAGTAAGACTTTAAAAAATACAGTTGTGAAAAGGGCATCCAGTTTGGTGCAGTGCTTAGTTTTTGTCTGATGCCGGAATACCACAGGCATACAAACGGATAAAATTTCTAAAAAATATTATTTTTGGCTTCTATTGGTTTTTAAAGACCCCTTATATATGAATTTTCATTAAATCTCTCCCACGTACAAACATCGTTTGGTTACAATTGTATTATATATAAGCCCTTTTACTCGAATTCACTATATATATAAGACATATTTTCCCTTTCTATTTATTATATATATATATATATATATATATATATATATATATATATATATATATATATATATATATATATATATATCAATTCGGTGTTCCTCCTGGCATAGGCCTCCTCCAGCTCTCTCCACTGAACTCTATCCTCCGCCACTCTACTCCAGTAAGGCCCTAAGGTTTGACGGATGTTATTCGACGGACGATATTCATTACTTAATGATTAGTATGTTGGCACATCAATTGTAAATGAATTTAGAAATATAAATATTATATTGCAATAAAATTGTGTGAATGAAAAATTTCAAAGTGATCGAGATTTGAAGCTTGAAATTGTTTTTAATTAATTTATTCTGCGTTTATATGTATTTAAGTAACAAAGGTTTTATGTGAATTTATACTGAGTAATCTATCAATTAAGTGTATGAAATGAGGAGGCTTTGCTTAAGTAAAAATTGTTCGAAATGAATTTACTAATTACTTTTAATGGTAAATTTTTTTTTTTCTTTTTTTTTGTAATTATGTATTTATATGTATTTATAATATTAAACATATTCCAACGTGATCAGGGGGTCTACCATGAAATGAAATTCCGAATTTTCGGGCTCATTTCGTGTTTTTGTTCGTACCGAAATCGACACAGTAAATGGAGCTCAACATTTCGTTTGTCATAAATCCTACTATAAAAGTTCAAAGGAACGATATTTTAGCATTTTTAATATTTTTAAACGGTACGTACCATGTAATTTTAGCATCAAATTTTTGTTTCGTTCGGATCCGAAATTTCGGGAAACATTTCATGGTAGGCCCTCTTCATTCTATTAACTATGCATGTAGATACCTTAGATTATATAAATAGAGTATCGAGTCTCAAAAACGGGTCAACTTTTTGTCAGCTAATTGTCAAATTAGTTCGTTTATTTATCAATATATTATATATTATTTACCAGAGGGAGACTTTGTGCAAAAGTCGATTGCTTGGGTACCTCTGTCCCATTCGTGTTTCAACTGTAAAGCAGTTGTGTTTGCATGTCTGTTTCGATTTGAAGGGTGGGATATGGAGTGAATTTACAGGGTACAGAGGAATAACACCTATGTCCTCGGGAATGGCAACGCATGGGGGGTATCATGGGCGAAATAGTATACTCTGTTATGTCCACGGTACTGGTCATGTCTATAGGCGACGGTTACCACTTTCCATCAGGTGGGCCGTCAGATTGTTTGCCATTTTAGGCTGTATAAAAAAAATATACTTACGCACACAACCTATCTTGATGTATTTATATTTAATTATTTAATAAATAAAATGAGTGTTTATATGAATTAAAAAGACGCAGAATTTATAGGACAAAATAAATATGAGTTATAAAGCAATCATTCATAACTATTATGTATGTATTATGTTTGTATTTATATATTATATAAAAACCGATCAATTATGTCATTACGCAAATGTGAGAACGATTCATGGCTTAACATAGATATAAATTTGATTATGTATTGACTGTAATTCGGCTGTACGTTTTCCAAAAAATATATATAAATAAATAAATAAATTTGTCACGCAAAATTGTATAAAAAAGTTGACCCGCTTTTCTCGAAGCATTTGTATGGAGACACTATATATAATCTAAGGTGGAATAAGTATTAGGTATCAGATACGTGTTGAGATAGAACGGATGAAATCAGAGTTATTAATAATATTTTTTTATAACAAAAAGTTGCAAGTACAATTAATTGAAAGAGCGCGAAATATAAATAATTAATTTTACTTACTTTGTTGTTTTTTTTTTTGCACCTAAATGTAATGAGCGTGTGACGGGAATTGAAGCAAAGTTAATAGTATTTTTTATTTTATTAGGTATACACAACAGGATTTTTCCATAATGGATAATAATGAAATGGTAACCCCGCCTGCGCTAACGGAACACGCTAGCGAGGCATCAGTGAGATATGATGGGTGAGAAGAAAAGGCAGGTCAGTTAGCCCATCGTGACGAATATACCTAAAATGGTTTCTACCATCGTGGTAAATTTTAGGTATGGGTAGGTTTTTTTTTTTGATGGGTGAAAATGGTATGGTAACCCCACCCGAGCTATTGGTATACACCGGCGGGGCACCAGTGAAGGATGATAGGTGAGTATGAAGCAGGTCAGTTAGCTCGTCGTGACGAATTCAACAAGAATTGTTCACGATGGTTTCCAGGGGAACCACGTGGAGGTCGACCTAATAAGACATATTGCTAGCAATGGGGCTGTCAAACTCCATTGCTAACAATCCCTTTCCCCCTATTAAGTGGGTACTGAGAGCATGACTTTTAATGATAACCTTTCTGATGCGGATTGATGGGCGGTGAGTTATCGTTGTGGATTTCTCGATTTACAGGTTAAGCAGTTGATGGAGTCGATAAAAATTTTTGGAGAAGGTTTGAGACCTTTTGAAGAGGGTGAGTATTGTGCCTAACTGCGGTTGTCAACTCGTCTGATAATGTACAATCAAGATTTCACAATATAATATACACTTAGAATTAAGTACAGATAGACTAGACTGATCACATATGCTTGATAGCGCAGTTATCTAACATGTTTACTATCAAGTCTGTAAATTTGGGCGTATTGATTCAAAAAGGCATTGTTAAGAGCTGATAGGTGACTTATCAATACAGATACAACGAGCAGACGCTGCCAGCTTTATCCACGCGGTTGCCTGGCGCTGTGATATAGTAAATTTCTGTGTAAACCGCAAAGAATACTTTCTAATATTATATATATATATATATATATACAGTAGTTGCCACGCTTGGCAGACGGGTTGGCAACCGCGTTAGGCTTTTAGAGATTTTTTTATCTTTATTTGCTTATCCCTCGCCATTAAATTTGATTAAGAGGTGACTCTTACGACACCTACAGGAAAGGTTTTATCCATTCTATCCTATCCTATGCCAGGAACACACGATGATTTTAATAATTGATATAGAATTAAGTTATTGTCATTATTATAGAATTAAACAAAATAATTCCACTCAAATTGCCACATCAAAATTTGATTTTGTTACGATTGAACGTGGCGTTTTTTTGTGGAGCAAAATTTACTTCTGATAGAAATATCACTAGATTCTTTTCAGCAAGAATAAATAGTAGATTTGAATCTTCCATAATTTTGTAATGTCCATTAGGAATATAAAGAAATCACTTTTATTCTAATTTTTCTGCGACGTAAAAATTTTTTTATGCAACTTAAAATGACAAACAAGCTGACGGCCCACCTGGTGGAAAGTGGTAACCGTCGCCTATAGACATGAGCAGTACCATACCAACAGAGTATACTGTTTCACCTATGATACCCCCCATACGTTGCCATTCCTGAGGACTCAGGTGTTATTATTCTGTACCCTGTAAATTCACTGCCATATCCCACCCTTCACAACTGCTTCAAGGTAGAAACACGAATGGGACAGAGGTGCCCGAGCAAACGACTTTTGTACAAAATCTCTCTCTGGTGATAACGATAACGATAAGAGACAATATATTTGGGGTATCTATCGTTAAAACAGCAAAGCCGATTAGCTTATTATATAATCGAAATTATTCACAATTACTACTATAGTAGAAACCAAATCTCATATCTAGCTATACGTATCGGTAGATATCACATCTGGTTATGAAGTCTGCAGTCCGCTATTATAAGTGATAGTGTAGTTACGTGTGCAAAACATACATAGAATGACAGAAAAATCGGCGAATATTGAGGTATGCAATTTATAATTGAAAAGGATTTCAAATGTCATTATTCAGACTTCTGGGTGGGAAGTGCTAACCGTCGCCTGTAGATGTAAATAGAGGGGAAGTTATTAGGTCGACTTACACGCGGTTCCCCCTAGAAACCACCTTGGTTAATTCTTCATGAATTCATCACTATGGGCCTCATGATCTGCTTCTCACTAATGCCCGTATATTGATAGCGCAGGCGAGGTCTCCATTCCACCATGGATATTGCAAAATATACTGTGTTGCCCAGATGCGTTACCATTCCTGTGGACTACAGTGTTATACCTCTATACCCTGTAATTTTACTGCCATACCTCACTCTTCAAATCGATATAAACTTGAAAGCACAGATGCATCCCGGCGGGGACACGAGTAGGGCAGAGGTGCCCAAGCAGACACCCATCCGGTATAAAAACTTTCTAGTTGCCAAATAACAAAAAAATACTATAGTCAAATATTGAATTTAGAAATATTAATTCACATTTGAAAATAATACTTTAATATTTTATTAAAAGATAGCATATACAGTTTCATGAAAGAAATAAACTATATTACAAGGTTGTTTTAATTAATCTAAATTAATTATAATTAATTTAGATTCACTAAAACAAATAACTGTAATATTTATAATAATTATAAATAATTATTAATCAGTTGTTATTTTCTTGACCTACCCCAATAATAAAGTACCGCGTTCGTGACTCACTGTTCATTCCAAAGGCTGATTGGTAGAGAATGCTACTGGCATAAAGTCCGCCTTTTGGGGGAAAGGGATTGTAAAATGGAGACTGAGAATCCCATTGCAGGTCGACCTACTCGCGGTTCTCCCTGGAAACTATCATGGTTAATTTCTAATGAATTCATCATGATGGGCTAACTGGCCTGTTTTCATTCTCATCTAACACCCTTCACTGGTGCTCCGCCAGCGTATACCGCTAGCGCAGGCGGGGTTACCATACCATTTTTACCCATAAAAAAAAGTCCGCCTTTTGTACCTTTTTTATACCAATAAAGTCAATTAAATAAAAAAAATTGTATCATTAAAAAAAAAATAAGTATGCGAGATATTTGTATTTATTAGGTATTAGATATTTCTGCCTCATTTAATTTCTGTAATGTTGTAAATATAGACGGTGTCTCGTTCATTAAACAGTCTCGCATCAAATATTCTTCTATTATGACTAAAATATATTTTTAGGCGTCAGAGGCGTTGAACATAAAAGCTTCAAAGGATGATGTTATGGAACGCATCATCCAGCATGTGGGAGAGATGGGGACGTACCAACGCTGGCTAGTGTTAGCAATGTGCCCGTTCGGTATGGCACTGTCATTTATCTATTGTGTACCAATGTTCGCGACAGCCACACCACAGAAGCACTGGTGTAGGGTGCCTGAACTTCAACATTTAGACATTGATTTGAGGTGAGTGAGATAGCTAAATAACTCGAGAGCTAGAGATAGATAGAGCTAGGTAGATATCTCTATCTAGCTATTGTCTATGTTCAGCAATAGACTGTTAATGGTTGATGATGATGATGATAATAAAATATCTAGATAATTTTTTTTGTTTCGTGCTTCATCACACAAATTCAGTTTACATAGAAGTGAAATAAATGATAAAAAACAATACAGTTTTTTATATCATTTCTTGTTATAACTACTACTAGTATTAGGATACTAGTGAGAGACGATCAATAGGGATGAAAAGGCAAGCCAGTCATAGTTCAACTGTAGTTTCAAACCTTATTTGGATGATTAGGAAGTTTAGACGCCATGACAGTTCCTTACATACGTAGTACTTACCAGAGGGAGACTTTGTATAAAAGTCGATTGCTTGGGTACCTCTGTCCCATTCGTGTTTCTACCGTGAAGCAGTTGTGTGTGCATGGCTGTGTTTCGGTTTGAAGGCTGGGATATGGCGTGAATTTACTGGGTACAGAGGAATAACACCTGAGTCCTCAGGAATGGCAACGCATGGGGGTTATCATGGGCAAAACAGTATACTCTGTTATGTTCATGATACTGCTCATGTCTATAGGCGACGTTACTACTTTCCATCAGGTGGGCCGTCAGCTTGTTTGCCATTCTAAGTTGTATAAAAAAAAAGTACTTATCTAGCTAATTGAACTTAAAATTAAATAAGTAATCTTAGGTGTATAAATCGCTGATGTATAGAGGTTATGATTTCCTTGAAATTTCTTGCATTTTTTTCTGTTTGTAACTCATCTATTAAACTCTAACTCAACACTAATATTATAAAGAGGAAAGATTTGTATTTTTGTGTGTATGTAGGTTTGTAATGAATAAACTCAAAAACTACTTTACCGAGTTCAAAAATTCTTTCACCATTAGAAAGCTACATTCACCCTGAGAAACATAGGCTATATTAATTGCTAGAAAAGATTAGGGGTCCTTACTAAAACTTTAGTAACGTAACTCAAGGTGTAAAAAAATGCTATCTTTCGTCACGTGCGCTGCGGAAATTATTAGTGATAGAACAAAAGTATGTTCTACAATATTGAAGAAAATATCAATAACTACAAAAAAACTTCTCGATACTATATGTCTAACGATTATTGTTGTCACAATAATCACTTTTTTAAATGTTGTAAAAATGCCCACCCGTGCGAAGCCGGGACGGTCCGCTAGTTATTCATAAAAAATAAAACCTCCTCTTACAAACCTATTTTAACTATTACACTGTTTTGTCACTTTCATTCAAATTGAGAAACTAGGACAAAAGAGAGAGACAAAATAGTTCAATAGCTAAAATAGGTTTATGCAAGGTTTGACGTTTTTATGAATAAGGGGGTAAATTTAAGTCTTATTTGTATGTATTTTAGACGAAATCTATCAATACCGGGCGCCGCAACAGGATCTGATTGGAACCGATGTATGGTGTACAACACAAATTGGACAAAAGTGTTGGAAACTTTAAAGCCTCCACCTCCAGAGACGCCGACGGTGCCATGCCAATACGGCTGGGAGTTCTTATATGATGACATACCTTACGAAACTGTTGCCAGCGAGGTAAGTTGTTCATAATATTAGCTCGTATAGAAAAAGAAAATTGAGACAAAGTCTTATTTTTTCAATTTCTTTTTATGTGTAACAATAATTATTATTAATTTTACCAGAGGGAGACTTTGTACAAAAGTCGATTGCTTGGGTACCTCTGTCCCATTCGTGTTTCAACCGTGAAGCAGTTGTGTTTGCATAACTGTGTTTCGGTTTGAAGGGTGGGATATGGCGTGAATTTACTGGGTACAGAGGAATAACAAGTCCTCAAATGGCAAATATCATGGGCGAAACAGTATATTTATTATGTCCATGGTATTGCTCATGTCTATAGGCGACGGTTACCACTTTCCATCAGGTGGGCCGTCAGCTTGTTTGCCATTCTAAGTAGTATAAAAAAAAAAAAAAATTTTAAACTTACGCGTTGTTTTCACATGTTTTAAATATACAATCGGGATTTAACGCGATGTAAAAACTTTTACAGGTAAATAGTACCTACCTACTTGCTTCTTTATTGCCGACGTTTCAACGTGGATTGCATTACGTGCTATCGTGACCATGACTATTGTTAATTTATAATAATAAAGCTAGGTCTAAATTAAATCCAGCAGTAATTACCAGAGGGAGACTTTGTACAAAGGTAACTTAGGCACCTCTGTCCTATTCGTGTTTCAACCGTAAAGCAGTTGTGTTTGTATGGCTGTGTTTCGGTTTGAAGGGTGGGATATGGCGTGAATTTACAGGGTACAGAGGAACACCTGAGTCCTCAGGAATGGCAACGTATGGGGGGTATCATGGGCGAAACAGTATACTCTGTTATGTCCATGGTACTGCTCATGTATATAGGCGACGGTTACCACTTACTATCAGGTGGGCCGTCAGCTTGTTTGCCATTCTAAGTTGTATAAAAAAATATACCATTGCACACAAAGATTATAGTGCTATAAATTATTTTGAACAAAAATGTATACCTAGCGAGCTAGACTCTGTAAGAGTTCTCTTAATAAGAAAAAAAGTAACAGATGTTGAACAAAAATAAAGTCGAATCTTGATCTTGAATGTGTTTATTAATTTTGTACAAGAACGTCATAATCGAAAGTGTCAGATAATAACATTATTTTTCTTTTTTTTTTTTTTTATAAAGGGCTAACAACGAGTTTACATACCAGTTATTAATTAAACAGATGCTCTTTTAATTTGATCTTGAAGATATTCAGCGATAGACCATCACGGATGTGTACTGGTAGAGTTCCATGATCTTGTTTCTTTGTAAATAACGTTCAGTTTCTCATTAGTATAACATTCCCTTAATAATTTCTATTTCTTTTTGTATCTACCTATGTAACTATAGACAAAATATGTTCTCTTTCAGCGCGGATGGGTCTGCGACCAGGCCAGCTATGTGCCATTATCTCAGGCGATATTCTTCGTCGGCTCTCTGGTCGGTTGCTGTCTCTTCGGCTGGATGGGTGACACTTATGGCAGGTTACCAGCATTTATAGGTAAGTACAATTTGAATGATGATGAGATCTTGTAACGTATACACAAATACACAAACAAATTGATAATCGCTCTCTTTGCTATCGGTTAAATATACAATTTCATAAAATAAAATTCAATTCAAGATTTAGTTCAATTGCGACCTTAATTTATGTATTTTTCCTTTATTTCAGCGGCCAATATAGTTGGATTTGTGGGTAGCATCGCCAGTATAGTCAGCAAAGGTGTTTGGGACTATACAGCAAGTAAATTTCTGTGCGGAATGGCAAACGATAGCTGCTATGTGATGTTATACATTCTAGGTACGTCTGGAGATCGTTTTTCAACTTATTGACGCCAAATTATTATTTATTTTTAATTAGTTTTATCAGAATTGCGAAAAAGCTGATGGACCACCTAGTGGAAAGTGGTAACCGTTGTTTATAGACATGAGCAGCACCATAGAAAACATGGAATACTCTGTAATACTCGTGATATTCTTCATGCGTTGCCTTTCCTGTGGCCAAAGATGTTACGCCTTTGTTCGAAATCATTTACACGTTTTCATTTATGTCCAAAGAGATTTGATGTTGTTATATGTATACGATACTCATGGGAGAATTATTGTGAAAGAGAACTAGCGGTCAATATTTCTTATATCTTTTAAGTCGACCATCACGAGGTTCTCCCTGGAAACTTATGCACTTATCCTGCTAGCGTACACCGACAATACAGACGGCATCACCGATCCATTAGTGATCATCGTATCACTCGTCAACTGTCCACTGTTGAACTTAGGACTTCTCTATAAGGGGTGCTTTGCCAATTCTTGTCACTCTTAGCAAGTGGGTTGGCAACTGCAATCAGACTTTAGTAATGTTTTAAGAGAAAGGTTGCTGCCCATTCCAAGATCATTAAAACCACTTAGTCGCCTCTTACAACACGCAACGGGAAAAGAAGTGATGGCAGGAATTACCATTCCCTTGTTATCCATTTTGTCTTCTAATTTCCACTGTAATGAGCTTTCCCTTTTTTTGAATACTTATAGGTATACATTTCAGTTCTAGAGTACGTGGGTCCAGGACATCGGACCTGGGTGACGAACATGACTATGGCGTTATTCTGCGGTGGTGGGGCAGTACTGACGCCAGTGTTGGCACTGTGGGTGCAGGACTGGCGCAAGCTCGTGCTCGTCACGTCACTGCCGATGCTACTTGCGTTAGGCACGCCCTGGACAGTGCCAGAGAGTGTAAGGTGTGTTAAATCTTGGCAAATAAGTGTTTTTATTTTTGAATGGGCTATAACGGAATGGAGCCCCACCTGCGCTATTGGTATATGCTGGCGGGGTATCAGTAAGAGATGATAGATGAGGTCAGTTGATCTATCATGATTTTTTTCTCCCTCCCTATTTTTTCCTTCCTTCTGGAAACCATCTTGGTTAATTCCTGATTGTGGCTTCAAAAATTAACTAAGATGATTGAGGTTGAACTATATATGTATATGTTCATGTATTTATATTGTTAGCAATGGATCTATTGGATCCTTATTACTAACAATTCCCTCCCCCCAGTAAATGAGTGTTAAATGCCACTCCGCCTTGTTCCGCCTAAGCTTATGATATACCATGATGGCGGATCAGTAAAGGACGAAATGATGACAGTGAAGTAAGATCACGATGGTTTTTAGGGGGCACCGTGTGGATGTTGACGTGACTGGGTATATTTTTTTTTATACAACTTAGAATGGAAAATAAGCTGACGGCCCACCTGATGGAAAGTGGTAACCGTCGCTTATACACATGAGCAGTACCATAGACATAACAGAGTATTCTGTTTCGCCCATGATACCCCCCATGCGTTGCTATTCCTAAGGACTCAGATGTTATTCCTCTGTACCCTGTAAATTCACGCTATATCCCACCCCTCAAACCGAAACACAGCCATGCAAACACACCTGCTTCACGGTAGAAACACGAATGAGACAGAGATACCCAAGCAAACGACTTTTGTACAAAGTCTAGTCTGGTGATATTGTTAGCAATGGGAATTAACCTCCCCATTACTAAATATCTTTTCCTCACAATTTACAAACGCCTGCCCACGATGACAAATATTCTATTAAAATTTAATTAAATGTAAGTATTTTGGAGAGAAAAAAATAAGATTTTTGGCATTCAAATTCTTGCTGTGTATCTCATGATAAGGTACTCGGCGTTATTGTAATATACATAAAATTTTTGTAGACTTTTTTTTTTATTAGCTGCCAAAGGCGATCGATAAGTGATATATAAATATAAAATAATTTGTCTTTCTTTCCCTATATTTTTTTAATACAGATGGCTAGCATCATCTGATAAAATGGAGAGAGCCACGACAGTCCTTAGAAAATTCGAGAAGGTAAACAAGAAACAAATACCGGAGGATGTCTACACCGAATTTATTGTGAGTAAATTCTGTAAATTAAAACTTCTGTCTCTTAGATGGTTTAGTAAATTAATTCGAGAAAGAACAAGACGGTCCTTCTTTGTATTATCTCATACATGCAGTAGCAAAAATGTACCTATCTACGGACAGATTCGTTGGCTACAAAAGGGCTGTTTTTGATAATGTACCAAGAACTCTGGTTATATAAAATATATCACATAAATACTAAAAGAATAATGTTTATTATTTATTTTTTATTTTGTAGGCAAATACCAAAAGATAGTATTAGGTATGTAATTACCGTATTACTAAATTCGGATTTTATTAAATTTTCGAGAAAGTAATACATTATCGTTTTATATATTCTTTATTGCACTTGTAGAAAAAGATACAGTGATTAGTTTAACAACTTGTTACTAAGGGTGGTCTTATCTTTGAAAGAGATGTCTTCCATCCATTCCAGTACATTGAGAGAGAGAACGATTAGCAGGTAATCTAGTGCAGGAAAGGTACAAGAAAGAAAAATTTAGTTTTCTTGATGTGGATGCTATTAAAAAGGAACAGAAGTGGTTGAAAAAGGAACACTTTCTCAACCTATCCTCGAATCTTTTAAACATAGCATGAAATAGCACTTAGTGACTTGATATAGTGCGACCAATCGTTATCGGTAGAAAATTCTCTTTCGGTTGACCGTATTCATAGACCGTATTGTCTCTGTTTATTTTTTTCAGGATGATAATGGTCTCATGTCATGTTATTATAAAAAAAAACTAACACTTTATTTTTTTTCAGGCCTCGTCTAAAATAAAAAGTAATTCAGACGAGTCTATGAAAGCGCTCCTAAAAAGTCCTCCATTGAGAAACAGCATGATCGCAATAATTTTAGTGACGATGTTGACTTGCATCGCTTTTGATGGCATTTTGAGGCTATCTGAGAATATAGGGGATAATTTCTTCGTAACATTTGCACTGTCGTCTATGGCTGAGATACCAGCTTTAGGTGTTGTTGTGTTGACCTTAGATAGGTAAGATGAGCATTATTTTTTTTTAATGCCTACCATATTTTTTTATGTAACAGGACTAACGAAGGAAAGAGAAGAATTCATGCGCCACTTTAACTTAAATAAATTGAATGTTGGTCTTATTCAATCTATGTTAGCTGAACTTAAACCAGAAATTTTTTAACATCTCTGTAAAAATTTTTATGCTTATTAATTCTTCTCTTTCCGCGTCTAGGAAAAGTAGATAAAGTTTTGTTTGAGATCAGTTCAGGGTACAATAGGACTGATATACCTGAAGAAGGTAAAAGCCCTTAAAATAATATTAAAAAAAAGTAGGTGGTTCACCTAATGAAAAGTAGCTTTTGCATATAGAATAGATACTTTTTATTGTTTCTTCCATAAAATTACAATAGTAAATACAAACAATTACAAGAAAATAATACACTGAAAAAACATTGAGCGATCTTATCGGTAAGAGCGATCTCTTCCAGGCAACCTTTGGATGGAGAAGATTAATTGTAAACAGTTTGACCGGACGTACATATATACATATACAGCCTACAGATATAAACAGACATGACAGAATTCGTTGTGATGCATAGGCATCACAGCGAATTCTGTACCCAATGGTACCCCTCATGCGTTGCCATTCATGAAGACTAAGATATTATTGCCTCCGTGTATTCTAATTCACTACCCTTCAAATTGAAATACAGTGGGAGAGTGAGAGGTTGTTAGTAGTGGGAATTAGCGATCGGGTTGGTAGCAATTTGTTGGCGTGAATTTACTGGGTACAGAGGAATAACACCTGAGTCCTCAGGAACGGCAACGCATGGGTAGTATCATGGGCGAAACAGTATACTCTGTTATGTCCATGGTACTGCTCATGTCTATAGGCGACGGTTATCACTTTCCATCAGGTGGACCGTCAGCTTGTTTGCCATTCTAAGTTGTATAAAAAAAAAGCAATTTACCGACATGGTGACCTCCACGCGGAATTTCAGAAAGGATTCTGGAAACTAATATGGTTGATTCACGATGAATGCATCACGATAACGCTAACTGAAGTTAAATTGTCTAGTTTCATCTTTACCTATACTTTTACCCCTTACTGGTAACCCGTTAATGTGTACCGATAACGTAGGCATGGTTACCATTTTATTGACACCAATTAAAAAAATATTATTTATTTATATGCTTTTGTACATTCACTTATAGATATTAGGTTATAACAAAAATGTACACATGTGGACTTATCCCTTAAAAGAATTTCTTCTTCAACCTTGAAAACCCGGAAGTAGAAAGTATCTATAGGGTTTGAGATCGAAATCGAAAAAGGTACTGTTAGCGATACCAAAAAACGCGCTTCAGAAGTGATTCGAGGATAGGAAAAAACGCTGGCATAAGTGTATTATATCTGAGGGGGATTGCATTAATTTTTGAAAAATATGAAAATAACGGTTATTTTTTTAACAGACCTCGTATATAAAGCATATATATAATATATTGGTTTTATATATAGCTACATAGGATGTGTAGGGAAATTTTATCCACGAACAAAATGTCCAATTCGTCTCATTTCCTCCAAATCAAAATCGATTTCTATAATTATTTTACAATGCATGAAGAGTGATAAACCAACGTAGTAATACATTTGTTCGGTTGTAGTAATATTGTCCGGGAAATTGGGATTTTTGTACAATGAAATCATAAATTATTTCAGGTTTGGCCGTCGTACCGTCACTGTTGTGACCTTATTACTTGCCGCCATGTTTTCATTTTTATGTGCATTTTTTGCAAGAGGTAAATACTTTTTTTATTATTAGATTTAGATCAAAAAGGTACACACCAAGTTATCTACCTAGATACGTAGTAAAATTTTTTTTATAAATTAATTTTGGGTATTTTTAGTTAAAACTTTTTTTTTTGGATTTTCAACAACCATTCTGTTAATTCTAATGACAACCAAACTAGGCCATAGTGTACCTGATTCTCCTGGCAAAGTTTTGTCCCCTCCCCACTTGATGATGAATTTTTACTGATTTCGTTTTAATGACGGATATTCGTGTCGATATATATATATATATATATATATATATATATATATATATATATATATATATATCAGGTTCTTCTAGTACTGATGGCGAAAAAAAGGATTCACTCCTTATAAGACAGATTTTTGGGTAATGTAATATTGCCTCCTTATCGGTACTAATGACAACATAAAAGGGAGGAAATGGGATTGTTAATAGTGGGAATTAGTAAGCCCATTGCTGGCAAGATACTCTGTCGGGTCGCCCTCCTCGTGATCCAAGTGAATTTATCACAAAGGTAATTGTCCTGCCTTTTCATTCTCATCTATCATCACTGGTGCTCCGCCAGCGTATACTGTTAACACAGGGGCGAGGGGGCGGGGGGAGGGGCATTCCATTAGCCATTAAAAAAAAATTGTCACAACAATGAATGAATGATTTTCACAAATAACACCCTCTGCTTTGTATTCTAGACTTCGATTCGGCAGTTTGTTTTCCATTGGAAGTTTTACACAAATAGTGAATGATTAAACAGATTTCCTTCTGCAGGTCCCGCACAAATGACCCTGGCGGTGGTAATGCGTTTCTTTGTGAATATGGCGATGAGCGCCGAGACGCAGATTGTGCCCGAGATGTTGCCCACAGCGGTACGCACGAGCGGCAACTCTCTCGTACACGTCACCTTCTACATAGGGACAATCTTCTCGTCTTATATTGTCTTCTTGGTGAGTTTATCGTTACAATCCATTAAAATAATAAATATCGAAGCCCGTGTAACAAGCATGGTTTCAGGGCTGGGGAAATGGTCGGGCTATCGTGCCTGTAACTAATTTAATGACATTACAAAATTTTTAAATATGAAAAATCTCTCTAATGGGATAAGAGTTGTCTGATCTTGGTATCTCGAATATGGCATCATTACATAAAAGCAAGATGAAGAGGCAATAATGGATGCATAAAACTGCATATTTCGATGCTCTAATTACAGGGTCGGTACTGGCAGCCCCTACCGCTTCTATTATTTGGCCTGATGTGTGTCGTTAGCGGTGCTATTGCATTGCTGTTGCCAGAGACCAAAGGGCGCGCCATGCCACAGACAATCGCTGAGGGAGAGAGGCTGGTCAGAGAAACAGTATTATGCGCGTAAGTGTGGTTTTTCCTGGAAATTTTCGACAAACTAATATCGTATCATAAGTGATATTAGCTGTTTATAGACATGAATAATACCATGGACCATATGGTAGACATGGTGGGATATGGCAGTGAATTTACAGGGTATAGAAGGATAACACTAGTCTTCAGGAATGACAACGCATAAAGGGTATCATGGGTGTCAAAGTATACTCGTACTCTGTTATATCCATGTTTATAGGCAACAAAAATAATATATAAACAAAAAAAGATTTTGTGCACTATGTGGTGTGGTCAACTGGTATGTTAGCAATGATTGGCCAGTTCGATATTTTGCTTACATTTTATCCCGTGGACACGATTTGTTCTATTTAAACATTTTAAATATCGTTTGTTACAGAAAACGGACGAGAGAAGATACCTACAGAGAAATCCCACTTATCATATACAATAAATAAATTAAATCTAAATTCTTAACCCTTCTTTGCATAATGGTATAAATTTCTATCATAACATTGAATGCCCAAAAATTTATAAAAGAACAATTTCACTTTAAGTTGATCGTGTCTGGATACCTTTTTAATGCCCATTGCAGAAAAAAAAAACATAGCTGTCAACTGTCAAATTTATTTTTTTAAACATTTTTCTTTAATTTTGAACATGAATTATGTCACCTTGATTTATTGCATCAATAAAAAAAAATGCAAAGAAGGGTTAAACAATTGACTAATTTTGGATAATGTTAAAGAACTTTACAAAATTTGTGAAAAGAAAGGTCCTTCTAACTTATAAACGCTAAATAAATTTATTCAGTTGCTACGTGTAAATGAATGAACAGGCTTTCTTACTTAATAATAAGTATTAGTTATTGATTTATAGTGACTTTGTAATACATTAGTCTTCGAGTTAAATCTAGTCAAGTGTTGCCATGTGAATAGATTCTTAGCGAAAAGAAAGCCAAAAAAGGAAGTTCTCGATCCGTCTGTTGTTTTGTGACTTCGTCACTAATTTTGAACCGATTTTCCCAATTCTTTTTGTAATCTATAGCCTTTATTTCCACATTGGTCCCATTTTAATTTTGTAATGATTTAAATTGCTTTTTTCTCGATGAAAGCTGCTTGTTATTACACCTACATGTAAACACCTAATTGAAAGTTCTAAATTCAATTATTTACAATGTTATAGAAAAATTTTTAGTTTATTTTTTTTTTATATTCATTAGTGCCTTCAGAAATAGTTGCTTTTTTTGCGAAACAATATACTTGTTGTGTATCTGTAAATAATAAAAAGCTGCATAGACGAGGGACATTTTGTCCGTAGGTGAAATTCTCCATTCTTAGACGTTTACTTACATAAACACGTGCCTTGCGGCATGAAGTTTAGTTTCTATATATTGACTGATAATAGGGTTGTCTGTGGTTTGTACAAGACTTTAATTATGCAACAACTGTGTTTCAATTCCGTTTTGTTCCTGCAAAATAATTAGAAGGAATATTTATCTCTTCATACCACATAGGGGTGGTAAAGTGCTGTGATGCCATAGATTGCAAGCGTTCATCAACTGCTTGCAATCAGGAAGACCGTATTTTCGATTGCCATTGTAATAAAAATAAAGATGTTACTTTTACTAAAGTGATAAACCCGATGAGATTATAATAAAATTTTATATTTACACTGTTTTTCTTTTTATGTATTACAACTCTGATTCTTTTATAGAGGCATTTCATCACTTATGATTTGTAATCGTATCACGAAAGCTTGTATAGAATATTAGACAGATATTAATTTTTATTACATACGAATTCAATTTTAAATCATGGTCCTTTGTGCCGGATACTATTTTATGAAGACAGACATTTCTTATTTTTTAAATTTCTAGAAAATTCACATCTCCCCTCTTAAGGAAAGGAGATGGCAAACTAACCCCCGGCAGAAGCACAGTTGGCCGGGGTTCAGGGCCCCAGGGAGTGAAACCGGCGTACAATGCGGGCAGAATCTAAGAGCACCGCCTTCTGCATCTTTCCCGGGAGTGAGCCGCCTCGGAATTCCAACCGTCTGAGATGTTGTTCCAGACTGATTGGGACCGTTCACCGACATAACGATTAGAATGATTTCGGTGGATGTCACCCCCCACATTTCGGTTATCATTATTATTAACGTATACGTTCTTTGCATTGTATACGATCTCAAGTTTAGTCACTTTTCTGTGGTCCTTTGAGCCGGACATTTTAATGTAGATATCATATAATTCTATATTTCGTTGCATATGAGATGTATATAATTGCAGTGGAATATAGTATTTATAGTTAGTCAACTATATGGTCCTTCGAGTCGGACAGTTTTTATTATTGGTGCATTATAGCATATTTTCCAATAAATATAAGAAAATAATAATTCGCCGTGTGTGTCTCGGCATAGAATGGACCACCCCTCCTGTCCAGTGGGTGTCGTAAAAGGCGATTAAGGGAGGGCGAGGGATGGGTAGGAGCCTTTCAAAACATCTCTAAAAGCCTAATTGCGGTTGCCAGCCCGCCTGCCAAGTGTGGCAACTACTGGCAAAAGTCCCCTTATGGGGAAGGCTTTTGTCCGGCAATGGATAGTTAACGGCTGAAATAATAATAATAAAAAAAATAATAAACTCATCTAAATAAATACAATATTTATTTACAAAGATCACGTCTGCTTTATACTCAAGTACATTTTTCCATTGATATTCTGCTTGACCGGATTGATCCGCTTCAGTATTTGAGTCATCGTTTCCACGAGCCGCTCGCTGCTCACGCCCGTCCGTTTGGACTTGAATTTGGTGAGCAGTTCCGTAGTGGTCATCGGTTTCCGCGCGAGGTACCGCCGCACCGCCTCCTCTGTCACGCCGCACTCGTTGCTGCATCACAAATTTAATAATAATTATTAGTTTTTTTTTTTAATTGGCAAACAAGCTGTGGTCCATCTGATGAAAAATGGTGACCGCCATCTATAGACTTGGAACAGTACCACAGATAATATAGAAATACATTGTGATGTCTATGGTACTCCTCATGGTTTGCTATTTTTATGGCCTATTGTGTTTTTTTATGGGTGATAATGGAATGGTAACCCCAACCGCGCTATTGGTATACACCGGCGGGACACCAGTGAAAGATGATAGGTGAGGATGAAGCAGGCCAGTTAGCCCATCGTGACGAATTCAACAAGAATTGTTCACGATGGTTTCCAAGGGGAAGCACGTGGAGGTCGACCTGATAGGGCATATTGCTAGCAACGGTGCTGTCAAACTCCATTGCTAACAACCCCTTTTCCCCCGGCCTATTGTGTTATGCCTCTGTACTTTGTAATTTCACTGCCATATCCCACTTTTCACGTCGGAACACAGCCATGTACACTCAGCTGCTTCACGACATAATCACAATTGGAATAGAAGTACCTAATTCCCTTGGTAAAGTGGACACACTTATATACACTGATAAATTATTAAATTGATCTCAAGTGATATCAAAATAGAGTATCCATTTAAAAGACTGTTTTAATTAGTGATTTCAACTTGAGATAAATATAGTGGACGACACAAAAATGATTAAGTGAACGATTGACTGAATTATCCTGCATTTTGCGTGTTGACATGTAAAAACAGAGGAGGTCTTTGCACAGCAGTGGAACATTTCCTATATAAAAAAACCAAAAACTAGTTTCCCACTATTACGGTAGCCATATCACAATGTGATTTCAAATTATCATCATAGTTTTATACTCCACTGATGCCTTGTTGTTGCACGTCATTAGTATTTTTATTGGATGAAAATGGAATGGTAGCCCCGCCAGCGCTAATGGGATACGCTAGCGGGTCACCAGTGAAGGGTGATCGATAAGGATGAAAACAGGCCAGTTAGCCCATCATAATGAATTCATCTGGAATTAATCATGATAGTTTCCAGGGGGAACCGCGAGGTCGACCTGGTTGGGTATATTGCCAGCAATGGGATTCTCAGTCTCCATTACTAACAATCCCTTTCCCCCCGTTATTAGTATTAGGGATGGGTAATGTATAGCAATATTTTAGTTACAATATATGTAAACTGATCAAATAAAAAATATGTTAAAAGACTGTTATCCAAAAAATAATATTGGATAAAAGACTTTTAACATATTCGAAAATAGATATATAGATAGATACTCTTTATTGTTTCCTCCAAAACATTACAATAGTAAACTTATTATAGATACAAACAATTACAAGAAATAATCACAATGAGAAAACAATGGGCGACCTTATCGCTAAGAGCGATCTCTTCCAGGCAACCTTTAGATGGAGAGGAGTAATTATAAACAGTTTGGTGGGAGGCACGATGAAAAATTTTGTTAGTTCTAAATATGGGAGATGTGATACATATAATAATATAAATATTATTCCTACTTATTATTATTATATATAGATAATAATTTAATTCTATTTTAATATTTTTTAAACACAAAGCATGCTGTGTTTGCCTCTATATGTAGGAACAGTTAGCCGTAATCCACTAGTGTAATGTATTGAAATGTTTCGCTGTATCTTATGTCAGTGATCCTAAATAAATAAATATCCGACCGACATGGGCGATATCGAAATGGGTGATGACCTTTTTTCCACCATCAATGTTCTGAGGAACCCAATATATAGGTATACTAATTATGCCTAATTAATATAAGCGAACGAATACGCTATTACAAAAAAAAAAAAAGAAATAAACATTAGATAAAACAAAAGTAATGGTACGAACACATATGCAGGGTCGAGCTTGGCACGTTTAGCGGGTGGAAAGCCACTGTGTGTAGCAGGTGCGGTCGGGGCGGCCCCCTGCGCCGGCGCCGGCGAGCCTGCACGGGACGTGCTCGCACTGCCCGGTGCTGATTGACAGACAAACAAACATATAAGTTACCTGTTTACGGTCAATGGTTGTCTATATTAAAATTATTTGACACTGGCAATATTTTTTTACAATAGTTAGTTTTTGGCAGAGATCTATTACTGGGTACAGAGGAATAACACCTGAGTCCTCAGGAATGGCAACGCATGGGGGGTATGTATCATGGGCGAAACAGTATACTCTGTTATGTCCATGGTACTGCTCATGTCGATAGGCGACGGTTACTACTTTCCATCAGGTGGGCCGTCAGCTTGTTTGCCATTCTAAGTTGTATAAAAAAATATTCTATTTTTTAATTTGCGGAAGAAAATATTTTAGTGATGGGTTTAGTTTGTGTTGCAGCACAATCGACCGTAATGTATTAACAATCTGTCTCACCGGAAGCACCGCTGGCCACTCCATTCTTGTCCTCCTTCTTGCTTTTCTTGGGCTTCTTACTGCTGCTATTCTCCGGGTCGGTGTCCGAGTCCGAACTGAACTCACTGCTCGACTCTGCGACATATTGCATACATAGTAAGTATATTAGGCAAATTGGCTATAACCTAGTCAATTTAAAAATAAAAGATCAAATTAATTGTTTCTTGTCACGAAACAGATATAATATTGTTCACATTAGCGAGGAGACTTGGTAAGAGTCTAACCCCCTTTTATTGGGGGGAAAGGGATTGTTTTATCAGGCTGATCTCCACGCGGTTCCCCCTGAATACCATCATGGTTAATTATAATGGAATTCTTCGCTATGGACTAAGTGACCTGCCTTTTCATTTTCACTTATCATTCCTCACTGGTGCCTCGCTCGTGTATACCGTTAGTATAGGTGAGGTTAACATTCCGTTATCATCCATTAAAAGAAGAAAAAACCTAACAGAGTTGCTTGGCTTTAACTTTTACATTAGTATGGTCAAAATAGCCACCTTTCTTTTCTTCATTCTTCTTTTTCTTCTTGGTGAGTTTGCTGGCCCGCTCCTCTCCTTCCTTCGTGGGCTCGTCCTCTTGCTCCGACTCCTGCTTCTGCTCTTGCTCCTCTTCCGAATCCTCATCTGAGGTCAACAGCTTCCTGGATAATGAAAGTACAAGTTTAAATCAGGTTTACAAGTAAATTTTATTAGGTAAGTATAAATCGTGCTCGAATATAGATCGTATACATAACTTATTACAGATTTAAGCTCCATCTAGTGGAGGATTCTTGAAATATAATGGAGGAGGTAGTTGATTTAAAATTAATTAATATTACCTGAGCGCGTCTTCCTCGGCGACTCCCTTTAGTTCCTTGTTAGCCTTTGTCTCGTGGTCTGATTCACTGCATAGTAAAACATAATGTTAAAAAACTGTACCACTTTAAAAAAAAAAACGAGTGGTAAAAAGAATGTTCTGAACGATAACACGACAGTTAGTGACGCATTGTTCTGTCTGAACGTGTCTGTTGGACCACTGGTGATGAACAAGTTCTTTAGTCGATTAATGTAGTGTAACTTCTGAAACGTATCTCTAAGCGCCTGCGCACATGAGGGACAATTTCTGGCTTACTTTTTTTTTTTCATTATAACTTATATAATAAAAAAAAAAACAGCTTTAATTATGGCTAAACCAATTATTTTGATTTAAAAACTAAACTACTAAAACGACTTTGATAATTAAAAAAAAATATGGGAACAATCTATAAAAATATCCTTTCAGATAAAAAAAAAATACAAACAAATTGGGAATCTTTTTCTTTTTGAAGTCAGTTGAAAATAGATAAACGATTCCTCAGATCAAAGATGCGCAATGCACACGAGTCCTTCGTTTATTAACCATTACCAGTTTTTATTAAGTTTTAATTAAATTATCGAATAACACAACAAGAAGCTTTGTCCTCCGTGAACTAAATAACTCGTCTGCACAGGCCGTTAAATTTTAAAAATCTTTTTCCATTATTTTTAGTGCTATTGCCACTTGTTTACTTGTTTATTTTACTTTTTTAATTCTATGGCTACACACACAAATATGAATCTTATTACAAAGCAGTAAGGTATACCTGTCTGAAGAATCGGATATGTAGTCTTTCTCTCGGCCCTCCTCGTCCCCATCGTCGCTCTCCTCGAACGCCTCGTCTTCCACCTTCTTCTTTTTCTTCTTATTCGCTGCAGCTATAAATATTTAATACTTTAGTAGATTTTACCGGCGACACATTTCAGCTTCCCAGAAGTAGCAGTTTCGGCTGTACGTTGATAAGTCAGTCAGGACAAATGTTTTTATAAGCATAGAAGATAAGTAAATTTATAAGAGCTTTTATAATATAGATAGGTATACAGGTTGCTTACCTTTTTTGTCTTTCTTCTTCTTACTCCCAGAGTCGGAGTCTTCTTTCTCACCGGCTTCTGACTCTGATGAATCTTCGCCGGACTCTATCCACTCGTCCATATCAGATATTTTTAAATCTGGCAATAAATATGTGGTGATGAAGTGCTTGCAGGAGTATCAGATGTAGTTTTAATATAAGTGCAAATGAATATTTTATTATTTTGGATTCCAGCAGACAGACAAACAAATTTTAATGACGAACTGAGTTTGTGACAACCTGTGTACAACAAACTAAGTTTCTAACAAATCCTGTTTACAATGAACCGAGTTTTTGACAAACCCTGTTTGAACAAACTGAGTTTGCAACAAAATAAGTTTCAATGAATTGAGTTTATAACAAACCCTGTTTACAACTGAGTTTGTGACGAAATGGATTTATAAATAAAAAATAGATGTAGTAAATAATTTAAATTCGAGAATTTACCTTTCTTTGCCTTAGCTCCTTTAGTCTTCTTCTCATCAGGGTCCTCCGCCTCGTCGGCGCCCTCGTCGCCGCGCATTCGCTTACGGAACATCAGCGAGAAGTAATTCATTACCTTATTTCGTCTGAAACAAATAAATGTATGTAAATAAAACCTTATGGCAATCTCTGGTGGTAAATATGGTTACACAAAGTTCGGAATTTAAATTTCGGATTATATGCCTCTGTACCATGTTATTTCTTTACTACATACAGGATAAAATTGATATCATTTAGTATGAAGTAATTTTTAACTGACTTGAAAAAGAAGGATTTAGGTTGTTTTTGTTTTTATTATGTTTGTTACCTCATAACTCCGTCAGTTGTAAACTGATTTGGGAAAACTTTTTATTATCTAAAAGGATATTAGATTCTTCCCATAGATATTTTATCAAAGTCGGTTCGGTAGTTTAGTTTTTAAATCAAATAACTGGTTTTCCATCCATACTGATATGGTGTGCTCAGGTCTCCGATACTGACATGGTGTTGACTAGTTGTCAAGTTAGTATAGGAAATTCAAAAATTTTTGCAGGTTTAGAAATTTTGATTTATTAAATTTCTGTCCTTACATATTCTATATCATTAATTCAGTTTAGGGAGTTAAATACCCCGTAAACTGTTTAAATATTATATAATAAATGGACAGTGTATTCTCTAATCTAGAGCTTTCATTTGTCTCTCGAAACACAACCTTATACAACTGTATAAGCATAAATGGATGGTGGTAAAAAATAAATAGTACATAAATATCAGTGCTTTTATATATATATATATAAGTTATATAACTTTGTATAGTCTTTCTCTGAGAAAGTTTATAAACATTTTAGTAGCATACTGTGATGCTCTTATCCCTCATTTTAAGTGCTAGTAATTAATGCAAATAAAAACAGTAGAATGTTAATTCTGTTTTAAGTTCTCAGCATGCAGTTTTAAGAAAATTGTTACATTACCTTCCAAACTCTTGTTCCGCTTCCTCGGCAGATAGCGCTTTGTACCTTTGGATAGGCTGAAAGTTGTACCTAAAATTAGATTAATACTTTTTACATTTATAACAAGTATGGACAATACTGTGGACTGAATGGAGAATAATTGAAATTTCAATTTCATAATCTTGAAAAATTTTTTTTTAATCTAAGGAAACATCTTTATAGATAGATACTCTTTATTGTTTCCTCCAAAATATTACAATAGTAAACTTATTATAAATATAAACAATTATAAGAAAATATTACATTGAAAAAACAATGGGTCTCCTTATTGTACAAGCAATCTCTACAGAGGGAGACTTTGTACAAAAGTTGATTGCTTGGGCACCTCTGTCCCATTCGTGTTTCTACCGTGAAGCAGCTGTGCTTGCATGGCTGTGTTTCGGTTTGAAAGGTGGGATATGGCGTGAATTTACTGAGTACAGAGAAATAACACCTGAGTCCTCAGGAATGGCAATTCATGGGCGAAACAGTATACTCTGTTATGTCCATGGTACTGCTCATGTCTATAGGCGACGGTTACCACTTTCCATCAGGTGCACCGTCAGCTTGTTTGCCATTCTAAGTTGTATAAAAAAAAGGCAACCTTTGAATGGAGAAGAGTTTATAAACAATTTGATTGGAGGCACGAAAACCTGTTCATTTTTAAAATACATACATAATATAAATATAAGTATAATAATGAATATTTCTTTAGTGAAATATATATGTTTATTGTAATTACCATTCTTGTAGTGGGTACGCGTCTATAGCGCCATCTGCCGCGTGCGTAAACACGTAATACGCCGCGTTCTCTGACACGCCACCCTCGCGGATGCCTTTAAATCTGCACAAAAATAGATAAAAGCCTTACGTTTTTTTTCCAGTTTATGAGTATATAATATGTTATATTGTCTATTAAATAGCCGTGTGGTCCCGGCATAGAATAGGCCACCCCTTCCTTTCCCGTGGGTGACGTAAGAAGCGCCTAAAGGAAGTGTGAAGAAAGGGCAGCAGCGTCCCTCTTAAAACATCTAACTGCGGTTGCCAATCCACCTGCCAAGCATGACAACTATTGGTAAAACCCCCCCAGGGGGAGGCTTATGTTCACCAGTGGATTTCAGTTGGATATTGTCTATGAAAACAACATAGATAAGTTTTTTAATGGGTGAGAATGGTATGGTAACCCCGCCTGCACTATTGAGGTACCAGTGAGAATGATAAGGTGAAAGGTGATAGATGAGAATGAAAGCAGGTCAGTTAGCCCATTGTGTAGAATTACACAGGAATCCACGATCGTTTCCCGGGGGAACCGTGTGGAAGTCAATTTGATAGGGTACATTACTAGCAATGGGGCTGTTGTTATTAAACTATCTCTTTCCTCCCGACATACATAAGTTTTCTCTCAAACTCAAAAGTAGTGTAAATAATGTACTAACTTCTTGCCAGTCTTGCCGCCCACTTTCAGGATCCACGGCTGGTCCTCAGGTTTGTATTTGCGCGATATAATACCAAATTTCTTGCGTCGCGCTTCCTCTCTTACATCTCGGCCGTACTCCGAGCCAGCACCAAACCTATAATAATAAACAATTCAGACACTACTACAGGGAGACTGTACAAAAATTGTTTGCATGGATACCTTTGTCTCATTTGAGCTTCTGCTGTAAAGCAGATATAACTGTGTTTCGGTCTAAAGGGTAGAATATGACAGAGATATGGATTTAATATTGTATATTAGTCCTTAAAAATGGGGGGGAAGGGATTGTTAGCAATGGAGTTTGACAGCCCCATTGCTAGCAATACAAGGCGTATTGCTAGCAATGGGGCTGTTCGACCTCCACGTGGTTCCCCCTGGAAACCATCGAGAACAATTCTGGTTGAATTCGTCGCGACGGGCTAACTGACCTACTTCATCCTCATCTATCATCCTTCACTGGTGCCCCGCCGGTGTATACCGATAGCGCGGGTAGGGTTACCATTCCATTATCATCCATTAAAAAAAAAGTCCTCAAAAATGGCAACATATAAGGGGTACCAACATATAGGCATCACATTGTATTTGTCCATGATTTTACTTGTCTACAGACAGTTGCGACTTTCCATCAGATGGACTGTAGCTTATTTGCCATTTTAAATATAGTAAAAAACAAACAAAATTTGTTTATCTCTATACCAGTTATAATTATTGTAAACATGTTTTACTACTTATAAACGAATGAACGAACAATATTGGGAATAAGCAAGACATATCAATATTTTTTTTTATACCACTGAGGTGGCAAACAAGCATACGGCCCACCTGATGGTAAGTGGTTACCGTAGCCTATGAGCACCTGCAATACTAAGGGTATTACGCGCGCGTTGCCGACCCTAACAATGCAGTTGTATAAGTTTTAAGGCATCTTATTACTGAAAGCAATCTTTTTAAGACAATTTTAATGGACTAATTGTTGTACAAGTAGATATGATAATATTGTATAATTAAAAAAAAAATAAACTAAAACTTAATGTGTATTAGTATTACTTATGTATAACTTAATTATATTTAGACAGCTGAACAGACTTATGTATGTTTTTTTTTTTTATACAACTTAGAATGGTAAACAAGCTGACGGCCCACCTGATCGAAAGTGGTAACCGTCGCCTATAGACATGAGTAGTAACATGGATATAACAGAGTAAACTGTTTCGCCCATGATACCCCCCATGCGTTGCCATTCCTGAGGACAGTAAAATTTTTGTCTGTCTGCCTGTCTGTCTGTATGTTCGTTATAGAAACAAAAACTCGACGGATTTTAACGAAACTTGGTACAATTATTTTTCATACTCCTGTACAGGTTATAGTATACTTATCATCACGCTACGATCAATAAGAGCAGAGCAGTGAAGGGAAATGTTACAAATGTCCACCTGTGCGACACCGGGACGGGCCGCTAGTACTAAATAATACTTGGTAAATATAAACATAAAAATTGAATACTTTGGCATTTCTTCTTCCAATCCTTTGAATTCTTTTATATTGTTTTCCCTCTCCATCTTGACATGTGTCCATTTTGCAAAATCTACATTGAGCGTGGCATTGAATCTCATTACATGGTACTTTTTCTTTACATTCTTTGGAACTCTGATCTTAAACTCTTGCACGGCTGCATTTGATTGCTGTAACAAAAATATTGTTACTAATGTATAATATACTAGATCTTCCCCTGCTTTGGATGGGTAAATAGATAGATAAATTAATATTTTATATTAACTTTAACAGTAAAAATTTTGATACATGATTGTGACTTTTTAATGGATGATAATGGAGTAGTAACCTCACCTATGGTGATGGTATACACTGGCGGGACACCAGTAAAAAATGATAGATGAGAATGAAAAGACAGGTCAGTTAGCCCACCGTGATTAATATGAAGGTTGTGTGGGGGGAAAGGGATTGTCAGCAATGGAGTTTGACAGCCCCATTGCTAGCAATATGCCTTATTAGGTCGACCTCCACGTGGTTCCCCCTGGAAATCATCATGGACAATTCTTGCCTTACCACCTTACTGCATTTATACAATTGTATCGTTGTGTTTGTAAATTGCCTTGCTTATTTTCTATATTACAATATAATGCAAATAAAGTATACTCAGTCATTCATTCATTCTTGTTGAATTTCTCATGATGGGCTAACTGACTTACTTCATCCTCACCTATCATCCTTCACTGGTGCCCCGCTGGTGTATACCGATAGCGCACCCCACCTGCGCTATTTTTATATCATTCCATTATCATCCATTAAAAAAATATGAAGGTTGTAAATATAATGTAAGTTGGACTCTATTTTCTGCACTTAGCCTCTCATTTTGGCCGTTGTGCATATGAATCTAATATGAAGGTTTCCAGAGGGGATTTCCAGAGGGGACGTGGATCTGGCAGGGAATATTGCTAGCAAGAAGGCCACATTACTGACAAGGCAGAATTATATATATATATATAGATGATGATAGAATGGAGATGCATTGCGAGGACCTCAATTGTAAAGTAGAGCCTCACCGATGATCATCATCATTATACAGATCACTATCATTATAAAGACCATGACAACTCTGTCAAGAGTGTACGACTAAAGAGAAATATTACAACAAACAAACATACAAAACACTTTCCTCCTAATAAAATTACTATAGAAGAATAAATGTCCAGGTAGAACTGAAACTCTTGTGAATTTAATAATAATAACTATGTTGGTATGCTGACAGCTCAAGTTCTATTATGATTTAAATCAGTCAAGGTTATGCCACCAAACCAACACCAGACTAAACAACAGTGGTTACGGGTCTTGCTCATGCATATGTGTTACATCATAGAATAAAAATATTTGTTAAATAAAGTTACAACCCTTCCAATCTTATTATTTGAAACTGTGGTAAACGGTGATGGTGACAAATTTACTCAATGTTTTCTTTGATTAATATTATGTATTATTCTTTAATTTGTAACTGTTAGTTTTCCCAAATAAATAAAAAAATGAAAAGAAAAAAAAATCTCATCTTTGTCTATGAGTTGAGTTTATGAGTTTATTTCTTTTTTAAATTAAAAGAACATTTCAAATTAGTCATATAATTAAACAAATTGATGTAGGTATAACTAAATGTGCTAAATATCTCTTCCACAGAAAGGTCCCCAGCTACTTATTATATTTATAAAGGCTGCAATACAATATCTACCTAAATGTAAAAGAGAATCTGTTTTCTACATTAAGCCTCTCATTAGAGTCATGCTTAGTCAGCCAAACTTGGTCCAGAAGCACAGAAGTTTCCTGTGGACTTTTACAGACCTCACGGAGTGACCTCACTGTTCCAAAGATTTCTGAACATCAAGGACTTATAGCTACACATTTCAGGATTATGTGAGCAGCCAATTATTCAGCATCAAAACAGTCTCTACACAGAGAACTGTCTGTGGCCCCTATTGTGTATAAATGTTTATTTAAGGGGCAATGGCCTGTCAATCTTAACTTTCTATCTATATCTTTCTACCTATTTAATCAGTAGTCATGGTTTGTTTTATAGATGTTACAATATAAAAGCTATCTTGATTTATTTGTCAAATGATAATCAGAAATTTCATAAAATTCTCTCATATCAAACAGGTCAATTTGGTATACATTGAAATGTTATGACTTAAAAAGAACACATTTCAGATGGATAGAACCATTGCTGTTTTAGTATTTATAAGAAGCATTATCCTAGTCTTAGCTCCTAGCAGTGGAGACCTTAGTAATATTATAAATTTGAAATTTGGTATACGGACAATTCATAACCTGGATTAGAACAAGTACTTTTTAATTCACATAAATTCGTGTTGTAACTAGATAAAGAAAAAATAAAAAGCCGATAGCTAGATTCTAGCTACAAGTGCTGATATAAGAAACAAGGAGAAAACACATAGAACCTTGGTAGAAGGTGAAAAGAAAAAAAATAACTTACTGATGAGCCACCTGCAGTCGTCATCTTTGAAAAGTTACAATTCTAAATAGATATGACTAGTCTTACACATTGATATTTATTCTCATGCTTAAGCAATATTGGATGTTCAATTATCAAGATGTATAAGAAAATAACAAAAGATAAAGACACTTAGAAACAGACAGGAATAAACTACTATAGAGATGTCTAAAGAATAGACATTTATTTTAATTTTCACAGAGCAGGCAACAATAATAGAGGAATTACTTAAGTAATTATATAAATGACAATGTCATAACAAAGTTATTTAAGAGTTGGCGTTGCATTATATATATAAAACTGGAAAATCATTTATGTAACCATTTAAAAGTACCTGTCAACATCTATACTTATAATAAATCTGTAGAAAGGCAAATTCTCAGGGTTTGCTAGAAGAGAACTCTTACAGAGTTAAGCTCGCCTGTTGTACATTTTTATTTCATATATATTATGTTTGTAATTTTTTGTGTACAATAAAGAATATATATATATATATATATATTTCTAAAATATATATATATATATATATATATATATATATATAAAATAACTATCAAGGAATGAATAGTGATCGATACTGATGGCAAAAATTCAATCAGTAAAATTTTTGTCTGTCTGTCTGTATATTCGTTATGGAAACAAAAATGGACGGATTTTAACGAAACTTAGTACAATTATTCTTCATACTCCTGTACAGATTATAGTATACTTTTAATCACGCTACGATCAATGAAGGGAAATGTGTCTGTTACATCAAAACCCCTGAACCGTGAGGAAGGACATAGGCTACTTATTTTACGAAAAACGACGGAAACGCGAAGTTGCGGGCAACAGTTAGTAGTATAATAAATGAGCAATCGTAGTGTTATTCGTGTTTATTTATGCATATATGTTGCCGAAGACATTTATAATAAAACTTAGTTCAAAATTTCAACAGAAATAGTCATAAAATGCAGCTATGTTACAATATTACATTTTTCTATTTAATGAACGAGATGCATAGTCTTCATAAACATGTTTTTTATTTGAAGTAACAGGAATCTATTGCAGACATTCCAATCTTAAATAGTTAAATGTCAAATGTACAGAGTAATATATAAGTACAATAATAGAGGGACTACATTTTATTGTTTTGTTTTCTTAAAAAATTTATCTACCTTTTAAAAAGTCAAATCATTTATTTATTAAAAAAATAATATTCAATTATGGGAAAGAAAAAGAATAAAAATAAGGTTAGCGGTGCAGTAAAAACTGCCGCTAAGACTGAAAAAAAATTAGCTAATAAACTTAAAAAAGAGCTTGCGAATTTAGGAGAGGTTAGTCCATGCTGTTATTATTTATTCGTTTAATTTCAATATAATAATCCTGACCCTATTATTATACTATTTATTTAAATTACTTTTAAAAAATATCATTACCGGCAAAATGCTAATAAGAATATAAATATATGAGGGTTATAGCAGAAAAGTCAGCATGCTTTTACTTACCGGAAAAAAGAAAAACATGCAAGTATTTTTACTTCTGTGCTTACTTAGTACTTAAACGGAAACTACAAAACCCCTTTTATCTATCTATTAATTCCTAAAAAAATTAATTCACTCTTTTTATTAAAAAAATCCTAATCTTTGTAATGAACTCAGGACACAAATTCTTAAAGTTAAAGTAAAAATTTTTCTATTTAAGTTAATTTGTAACAGGAAGATATAGCTAAAGTGATAGCAGAAATTGAGAAAGAGGAAGCAAGACGGGCTGCAGCGACAGAGAAAACTCTCAAAGGGCCACCATCTGCAAGAGCATATGCGTCTCTCACTCCACATCCCACCAATAATGAGCTTATTATGTTTGGTGGAGAATACCATAATGGTCAAAGGGTAATTGTTTTTATAAACATTAAAAAATTTGGTTTTTGTTAGTTATGAAGAGGGATTAGAAATACATGAATAATAATTTAGTCTTTTTATATTATTATGTAAACATTTATTAAATAATATATAAGGTAAAATTATGTCTTAGTATCTAAAACTAAGAATTTATCTACATTATAAACACAAAAATGCAAAAACAAAAAATTTTGAGTTTCTCAAACCATTTAACAACTGGTCGCTCAACATTTTTTTTGTCATTTACTGACTCCTTCTTTTTGGAAAATAATTTTATTTTCCTGATAAAACACTATCTTAAAAGGATGCTAATAAATTTGAGAAATATAAAATCCACATTTGGATTTTTTTTGTACAAATATAATATTTTCAATGCTCCACATAAACTTGAAACGAGGACCATTGCCTATACAAAGTAACAACAATTTCACATAGAAATGTCGATCCATTAAAAAAATAAAATATTAATTTCAGACAGAAGTTTACAATGACTTGTTGTTTTATAACCCTGTAAACAACACATGGAAGCAAGTGAAGGCGCCTGGGGCCCCGCCGCCACGCAGCGCCCATCAGATGGTTGCCACACCTGCCAATAAGTATGCCTATATGGTACCCATTCAATTTAATATTGTAATAAATAAATGTGCTTACTATTATAATCTTTTATGAGGTCATAAAAGGTATTTTTATAAGGCATAATTTATTTATATAATAATATAAATTAAAATTTCATTTCATTATTAATTTTTTATAATGGATGGCTTGGTAAGGCTCTCTGGACTATTCATATATGTTAACGGGGCTGTAGTGAGGGTGGAAACAAGTTCATTTGGGACCATTGTGATGAATTCAACAAGGATTAACCACAATAGTTTCCGCAAGGAGGCTTATCATTCCATTTTCACCTATGTGGTGAATGATAAGCCGATTTTTAGAAATTTTGTTTGTCTGTCTGTATGTTTGCTCTGGCGTTATATAAACACTACTGCATCAAAATTGATGCTGTTTTCACTGTTGCTTGCTCCTGTTGTGTGCTTCTGAAGGTATTGACTCAAGATCTTGTATGTCTTGTATATCTTAATATGTCATCTAGAGATGGCACATTTAATTGGTTTTTCTGCTTCCAAAAACCACATGTACGAAGTAGCGGGCAAAGTAGATAGTTCATTATAAATGGCGGATAATATTCACTGGTCTGATGAGTGAAATTTTTTTTTCTTGCTATCTATTTTTTTTATTTATTTCTTTTTAGATTACTTGGATCCATTTTTGTTAGTAAGTGTACTTAAAAACTATGTTAATACTTAATACACTAATAATGATCTAGTCCTCTCGGCGAGCATTTTCACGAGAGGACTATCTAATTTATTAACAAACATGTTCAGGATCCTGTTGTTACTCCCGCGTATTCGACGTAAAAACGAAGCTGTTTTTTTACGCCAGACTGCGTCAAAACTATCTGTGCGAGCGTCGGCAAACATCGCTGAGGCGCTACAGAAGCGCGGGAGCCGCAACAGCAACCTGAAATTATTAATAAATTGGATATGCAAGGCATTGCAAGCCGAGGAGTATACCGGAACCACTGACTCGCCGAATACAACGATGCACAATACGCTTTAAATAGTGTTATTTTTACTGCATTTGTACAGCGCGCAAATTGGCAGGACAACATATTGGCTCGGACTGACAAAGCCCTACGCTCCCTCTCCATATCTACATCGTCTCTAAGGCTGGTGGTCACCAGGTGACCAAGGTATTTAAATTTATCTATGCTAATGTATCTACTGTTATATTTGCAGGGGTGAGCTGTGGGTGTTTGGCGGCGAGTTCACAAGTCCATCAGAGACGCAATTCTATCATTACAAGGATTTGTGGTGTTTTTCACTTGCCGACAAAAAATGGGAAAAGGTAAAATTTGTTACACATTCTGTGGTTAGCTCTGTGAATTGATCTGGAGGAGATTTTTTTTTAATAGATAATAACGGAATATATACTAGATATATTATTTTAAAACAAATTAGCGGCCCGTCCCGGCGTCGCATGGGTGGACATTTTTATATTTTAAAAAGTGACCATTAAGGCTGCACACGCAACGGAAGCTTAAAAATGGAGTAACTTCTCCCGTTTTCCCAACATTTCCCTTCACTGCTCTGCTCCTATTGATCGTAACGTGACGAAAAGTATACTATAACCTGCCCAGGAGTATGAAGAATAATTGTACCGAGTTTCGTTAAAATCCGTCGAGTAGTTTTTGTTTCTATAACGAACATACAGACGGACAGACAAAAATTTTACTGATTGCATTTTTGGCAACAGTATCGATCACTAATCACCCGCTGATAGTTATTTTGGAAATATATTTCATGTACAGAATTGACCTCTCTACAGATTTATTATAAGTATAGATAGATTAGAGGTCCCTACAAAAATTACAACAATGTAATCCAAGGTACCTTAAAACACATTGTACAATCAGTACACTATGTATAAATACATAGTAATCTTAATATTAAATGGTATCAGTGAGCTAAGAGACCAAATAAAGATTTAATAAAATACCTAGTAAAAGTATGCATGTTAAAGCTAAAAATTACACGAATTTATCTTTCTATCCACTCATATGAAGTCAATAGTGTTTGATAAAAGCTTGTAAAAATAAAAAAAATTAAATTCCCGACAGGTGTCAGCACCGCACGGGCCGTCGGCGCGGTCGGGGCACCGCATGGCGCTGGTGGGGCGGCGGCTCGTGGTGTTCGGCGGGTACACGGACGACGGCCGCGACGCGCGCTACCACGACGACCTGCACTGCTTCTGCCTCGACACCAGGACCTGGAGCCGCCTGCAGCCCTCCGGCCGCGGGCCTTCCGCCCGCTCCGCCTGCGTCATGCTGCCCGTCGGCGGAGACGGGGTTAGTTTCAATACATGTATACCGGGGGGGAGGGGGATTGTTAGTAATGGAGATTGAGAATCCCATTGCTAGCAATGGAGCTGTTAAACCCCATTATCAATAATCCCTTCTTCCTGTATATTTCAGTTGATAATATATGGAGGATTCTCGTGCGTCCGCGACGGGCGTACAGAGCGGACGCACACGCACACCGACATGTTCCGGCTGGCGGCGCGAGGCGGCGGCGGCGGCGGCGGCGGCGGCGGCGGCGGCGGCGGCGGCGGCGGCGGCGGCGGCGGCGGCGGCAGCGCGGCGTGGCGCGCGGTGAACGGCGGCGCGGCGGCGCCGGCGGCCCGCGCGGGGCAGGCCGCCGCCGTCAACGTGCACAGCGGCCGCGCCTACGTCTTCGGGGGCGTCACGGTCTGTGGTTTCTTAATCCTTACTAATATCATATACTAGGGGGAGAAGGGATTGTTAGCAATAGGGATTATCAATCCCATTGCTAGCAATAAACTCTATCAGGTCGACCTCCTCGCGGTTTTCCCTGGAAACCATCTTGATTGGTTTATTGTTGAATTCGTCACGATGGTTAGCCCATGACCTGCTTCATCCTCACCTATCTTCTCTCACTGGTGCTCCGCGGGTGTATACCGATAGCGCGGGTGGAATTACCATTCTATTATCATCCATTAAAAAAAATATCATATACTAACTTTTATCCGCGACTTTGTCCGTGTGACCGGAATAAAATACGTTACATTAATAAATCAAGTTATCCTATTCGCGCAGACAAAGCCGCGGGTGAAAACTAGTACATAGTCATCATTTCAGATGTTAACTGTCCACTGCTGAATATAAACTTTTCCCATAAGGGGAGTTTTGCCAGTAGTTGCCAAGTTTGGCAGGCATTAGATAGCAGGAATTAGATGTTTTAAAAGGGGTGCTGCTGCCCATCTTTCTACCATTAGGTTCCCTTAGTTGCCTCTTATGACATTCACGTGAAAGACAAGGGTGATCTATTCTACGCCGGGACCACACGGAAAATTAGTACGTATAACTCCTTTTTCAGGATGTAGAAGAAACCGAGGAAGAGCTCAAAGGGGAGATGAGTGACGAGTTACTAATGATAGATCTGGAGACGGCCAAATGGCATAATGTCACCCTACGTACCGAGCAACAGAGTACACAATCGCCTGCACCCGCTGAAGAAGCTGTTAAAGATGAGGAGAAAGAAGAGGTCACTGGTAAGGGACTTGAGTTTTATCCACTTTGAATTTAGAAACAATATCAGTGTTATCGTAATTTATTTGGTGCTGTTCGTATCTATAGGTGACAGTTTTTTTTTTGGTGACCATAGAGCGCTATTTCCGCCCGTGCTATTGGTATGCGCTGGCGGGGCACCAATGAGATGATAGGTGAAGATGAAAAGACAGGTTAGTTAGCATATTGTGATGAACACACCCGGAATTCAGAATGGTGGTATCTAGAAGGAACCATGTGGAGGTTGACTTGACCTGGTTCCTTCTAAATACCACCACCATTGGTAATAGGACTGGTAGTTGTTGTGTTTACATGGCTGTGTTTCGGTTTGAAGGGTGGGATATGGCGTAAATTTACTGGGTACAGAGAAATAACACCTGAGTCCTCAGGAATGGCAAGGGGGTATCATGGGCGAAACAGTATACTCTGTTATGTCTACGGTACTGCTCATGTCTATAGGCAATGGTTACCACTTTCTTCATTCTAAGCCACTTCACTTTGCCGTTCTAAGTTGTATAAAAAAAGTCTGCATTATTAACAATCCTTTCCCCCCAATCAGTTCTGTTAGTACATCATGCCATGATGGTTTTTCAAGTGAGGATTTTGCGAAGGTCAACTAGTTCCTATGTATGATGAAATGTATTCTTAGTATTTTTATGGTGAAAATGGTATGGTAACCCCGCCTGCGCTAACAGTATACGGTATGGTAAATAGAAAAAATATAGAAAAATGAAAAGTAGCTGTTACTAATAATTCTCTTCCTCCCTTACGCTGCTTCCTCAGTGGTGACCGACGAGGTATTCACAATGAAGTTAGGGGGGGCCGCGACCCCTTCGGATCCCGTTGTCGGCGGCGCATGCGCGGCGGCCAGGAGACGCGGCGGTCCATCACCGCGCATGTCGGCCATGATGTGTGTGCAGCGCTCTACGCTCTACCTGTACGGCGGCGTGCTAGAGCGAGACGACAAACAGTTCTATCTCAGCGACATGTACAGTTTAGGTTTGTGATAGTTATGTTTTACAACCATTTTTACTTGTATTATCGTACTTTAATTTGATATTAGAAACTAGCTATATGCCACAGCTTTGCCCGTGTAAATCAGTAAGTACATAAATTTACCTATGTGCTAAGTAAGGATATAACTTATCCGTGTACCAAATTTTATTCAAATCTATTTAGTATTTTTTGTGTGAAATTTTGTCAAGATATTTGTTAAAGATAGATAGATAGATAATCTTTAATGTTTCCTTAAATAAAAAAAATAAAAAATAATTACAAGAAAGTATTACACTAAACAATGGGCAGCCTTATCGCTAAGAGCGATCTCTTTCAAACAACCTTTGCATGGAGAGAAGTACCTAGTAAATATAAGAATATATTTTTAAAGTCTCGATTTATTTGATTTTTTTGCGACATTGTTATGTAATTGCGTCGGCATTCATAATTATTTTTGCAATCGTGCTTTACTCTCGTGTTGGTCCCATTTTTATTTTGTGGCGATTAAAGTTGCTTTTTTTTGTGTAGCAAAAAACAGCTGTTGCAGAGCAAAATCTAAATGCTAACCTGCAATATTTACTCTTGAATTGAGAAATTTTAAGTTCTAATAATTAAAAAATATATAATAATAATTGTATTTACAGATTTACATAAATTAAATGAGTGGAAAACAATAATAGAACAGCCACCATTACCGGACTGGCTCGGCTCCGATTCGGAGACAGAAGATTCTGGTTCCGACAGTGACTCTGAGGACTCCGAAGATACAGATGAGGAATAAAACACTATCTATACATCTTCAATCAAAATATATTATGGTGTAGGCAGAGAAAAGAACATTGGATATACATACATATGTAATATATTATAAAACCTTCAATAATCTTCTGCCTATAGATTCCGGAGTTGTCCAACTCTTTGCTCAGTTGTTACCAGCATTTCAACAGTTAATATTCTGAACATATCGACTTCTAGAAATTGCATTACAACTCGTATGATGCTGTCGCCCTGTGCTGTTGAGAATTTATAGCTCATTATTACACAAAGAGCTTTGACGTGACTCACTGGGCCATAGCTCTACGAGCAGTAGTAGTTCAATACTCTAGTATTATAATTGTATTGTATATATATTATATGTTCATATAAGTGTCTCCCATTAGAATAGGTACAAGTTATAAAACGCTAAATGTTTAGATTGGCCAAGAGATTAAGTGATATTTATTTAGAACATAGTAAAGAATCATAATAAATAACTCATGATATACTTTTTTTAAAAAAAAAAAAACCAAATATTTTAATAGAAAAATATACTGTTGCAATGATAATTACCACAGGGAGACTTTGTACAAAAGTCGTTTGTTTAGACACCACTGTCCCATTCGTGATTTTACCGTAAAACAGGGTGGAATATGACAGTGAATTTACTGGGTACAGAGGAATAACACCTGAATCCTCAGGAATTGCAACGCATGGGGTGTATTGTGGATGAAACTGTATAATCTGTAGTGTCCATGGTACTATTCATGTCTATAGACGACGGTTACCACTTCCCATCAGGTGGACCATTAGTTTGTTTGCCATTCTAAGTTGCATAAAATAAATATATAAATAAGAAGTTGTTTAAATTAGCAACTGATACGGTATAGCAATGGGTATAGTGTTTTGTTTATATAATTCCGAACAATAGTTTTAAGAAATATTGTAGTATGTAAGCAAATTGTATGATATTTATATGCTTGTATTATATATAATAAATTACATATTTTTATAGTTCTAAAATTTTTTATTTTAAGAAAATTTATAAATGTATTTATTTATTTAATACTTTAGTATTTTTTTTTTTATAATTAATATTAGTTTGAGATGGATCTACTTAAACGTTTCAAACGAAAGATATTGTCTGAGGATATAAAGTAAAAATAGATCTTCGCCTGCGCAGTCCATAATTATTATGCAATACACAGTAATAAAATGCCACCAACACAACTAAAATGAAACAACACAATTACACATGTTATCGATTTATTTATGTACACAAATTTTATGCCTACATAATAATATATCTTTATAAAAAAATTCATTAACCTACAAACAAACATTCGGTCGCAATCGTTCGTCACTGGCTCACATTGACACATCGGATACAATAAAACACCAAAGTGCACAGTGTGAGTTGCACAAAGATTTACGTTCCAACTACCTTCACGTTTACATCAAGTTTGTATAAAAATCTAAGTTTCTAAAAACATCCGCTGAGGAACAGCTAAGTTTTTAACACAAATTGTCATGTCGTGAACGTAGCCGTCAACTCACACTAGTCACACTGTTCCACTCACACGGATGAGAAATAATATCAAAAGAGTAATTCCAAATATCATAAAATCATAATATAAGTAATGTTTAATTCTGCACACTGATTCGTCTAAATACATATTTTTATACAGGGTATTATAGATCATATGTGATACCACAATATAACAGCGTTTTAATACAAACGCTTCCGCAAAAACAGTCCAACTTTATTATGTACAATTTATATTATCTTTACGAGAAAAAAAAAAGTTGTTAATTAGATTGAAAAAAAGTCCTCCTGATTTGGGTCCTCCTTATCTTTACAACACGGTAAACAACAACAGGTGGCTCTCTTTATTTGAAAAATATATGTCACTGTCACAGCAATGAATTTTTCATTTCTGTCTAAATTATTTGATCATTTTTATACCCAATTCAGAATCTTTATCTTGTATGGGATTCAGAATCTTTATATTATATATTAAAACTAATTTATCTAAATTAAATAACTTCATATCACTTAAGAGTGAACAAAAATATATATAAGTACATTTTGATTCTAAACATGATAACGTTATAATTCTCAAGGATTTAATTATATGATCATGTGATAATATTAAAAAAAATACTTACTTGATTTGTCATACAGTAGATATCTATATAATAACAGATACATTATAAGTATACCTCATTATTATATCAGTTGATTTTATGAAATTTCGAATCACTAATCGAGTATAAGCATCCAGTTAGGATTATTAACGTCACTAGTCACACGTGTATGAGAAAAAAATTTGCAGTACGCGCCAAAAAAGCACGATATAACTTCGAGAAAGCTGACTAGGTTTTTTCCCGACACACGCAAGACTTATTTACAAATTTAAAAAGTAATTGAAAATAAAAAAAGAACTATTTTTTTCTGATTTAGGTATAATGTGTTTTTATTTTATTTTTTATCAGTTTACATAGAATAACCTTTCATGTACCTTTCAACGAGTTACCCTGTTATTCGTTCATCTGTATAAAAACTACATTTTCTAGCAACATTCATTATCGTACGGACCGATGACTGATTTTGTCATAAAAACATTTTTATACATATAAGGCATATATAAAAAAATAATTGTAAAAATAATATAAATAGACATACTCACTATAGTAAAAGGGCAGTTAGAGGCGTTTATCAACTATTACAGATATAATTCATTATTTATAAATTTTATTTGTGCTAATAATTAACAATGACAAATAATTATAAAAGAATAAAATACAATTACAATAGTCGACAGTGCACTAAAATTAGGCACTTGTTTACAAATATTGCATTTGCTTTTGATAATAAATCTAACAATTTTATGTAACAGATAAAGTGCAAGATACAGATACCTTGCAGACAGATTTTGAAAGATTATTTATTTATCCTTAAGCCATATCTCTTATAGGTTAGGCAGTGAAGAGATAAGAAATAACTCGTTATTCGATACGATTCTCGAATTAAATTTATCCAACATAGATTTATCAGATCTTAATTTATATAATTACAATTAAAATATGGTTATACAAGTATTGTCTATGAGAAATTAACTTTTTAAAAAATAAATCATCGGTCCAATATTATTTTGATAATTATTTTTTTATCTATATTTTAATGTTAAACATAATATTTACAACATATATAAAATGGGTTACAATAATGTTATTATGCTATGTTAGTCAACTAGAAAGTGACAAAATATAACTGTACTGACCATTGAAACTCATTCACACGTTTCTAATAAGTCACATTACTAAAACGCTACATTTTTAACGTTTATTGCAAGCGTGAATTCGAAGTGACATATGTTTAGGGTTACCATTTAGAAAAAATTAAAGAGTACTACAAAAAACTTGATCATTTAAAAAGGTTTAGATATTTATAAAATGAAGTAATAAATACGCGTAGCGCACTTTTTAAGGGACAGGAATATTAAGTAAAAAATCCGGACATGCTGAAATACCGAACGGAAGGCCGAATGTCCGGACATGCCCGGAGAAATTTGGACGGATGGTAACCCTACACACGACAGCATGTTCATAGATTAAATAAAAGCTAAGTAGATGGCACGTCGAACAGAAATAATAAAATTTGGTCCCCGAAACTCGCTCGTTTCATATATTTTTTGGAAGCGTCTTCTTTTGTATACGTTTCAGTACCATTAAAACAGAGTACTATTAAAATGAAATTGATAAATTAAATATTTCATAATTAAACACGGGTAAAATTTCTAAAACCAGTTGTCTGCATAATCTAACTGCATTATATAATATATAGGTATAGAATCGTTCTCACTTGACATATTTAGTATCTTTTTGCTATTTGATAAAAGTGTATAACGTAACTTTGTTGCTGAAGGCAAAGTTAATAAATAATAATCACTGGACATCATTATCATACAGAATAAGCTTATGGGAGCTAGATAACTGATAGGCATACTTTTTTTTTTTTAAAATAAATCATGTAGACACGCTGGCCAATACAAACAGAAATTTGAATACAAATGTTTGCATTGTCTAGGGATTGAATCCACGATCATCGGGTGAGACACTGTTGCTACCGCTGCAGCATTAACGTCGTAAATTAAATATATATTATTTCAGATTATTTTATATATATATATATATATATATATATATATATATATATATATATATATATATATATATATATATTCATTTGTTGTTCCTTAGTGTCGTTAGAACATAAAAGGTTTGATCGATTTAAATTTTTAGTTTAGTTCGTTCTAATACAAGGATGATTAAAAAGGAGAAACAAGTGAATAACCAAATAATATAATAATAGTTCAGTTGAAAATTTCAAATTTAAAAATGGATAATTTTTAATGGGAGTCCTTACTTGGTATTATCCTTACTAGATGGCGTTGTAAACGATACGAAGTTCACTGGGTCATCTAATTTTTAAATACATTATTTTAAAAGAAAAATAAATATGGCAATTTCACTAAATATGTCAAGTAATAAGACCATTATAATAAAACGTATAACATTGTACTGATATCAATAATGTCCAGATCGTAATGTAAGTAATATCTACAAAGTAGGTATAATTTACATACAATTTTAATTTTTTTTTCTCTAAATATTTAAACATTATTCTGTAAATATGATTTGGGACAATATTGATATGAGATATTTGTTAATAATAAATTATTAAGTATGTTTTGTGCGTAAATCGATCCGGTAAAGTCGTATTCCTATCATGCCGGCCGTATAAATAAAACGAATTCGGTTACGAAACTGGGATCGGCTTAGTGGGAACAGGACCTAAGTTTTAATTGTAAAAATACCAAATACCTCTTCCTTAATGGTATATATTTTTATAAAGTGTTAGGTTACAAAAATAAAAAAAAAAAACATGTGTAATTGTAAAATTCAGGGGAGTAAGTGTAAAAAACGCCGTTGAGAGGTTTTTAGTATTTTCCAACAATTCATATAGTGATTATTTATTTATAATTAACTTTGATATACTTGAATTTGATGTATTTTTTTATTACGTTCAGACTCATTTTTTAACTAACACATAGTATATACAAAATAAATTGTATATTTTAAATAAAACGAATTAAAATCACTAGCAAAAGTAAAGCTGAAGCCAAATTGATAAATATTACAATAATATATAATATGTGACGGGCGATTGTTGAATATTAACAATTTTCATACAATAAATACGTCTAGTATTTACTTTTTTAAGTTGCTTTAAAATTATTTTAGAATGTATACAGTAGCACAATGCCTAAAACAGTAAGTAGATGCCTATAAATATTAAGAGCGATCGCACTGAACTGTGGCAACATCGAAATTGACCGTTAATTTAAAAACAATTGATTTAATAATATGTAAAATATTTTTTTTAAAAGGTATTCTAATGCGAGTTTGCATGATTGACATTTGAGAACACCTTTTAAATGATCAACTAGATATATTGAAAATAGTTCAATTGTTTTTGTAAATTGACGGTTAATTGTGACATTGCAACACTTTGGTAAAATTTGGTACAAACGCTCTAAATTTGATATATCTCACCAGCTACTTGTATACAGAGTAATGGCCGCCCAGCCACAGACTAAACTAAAATGCGAACTATAAATATATATATCAGTCTGTTAAATGTTAATATTCAATATCAGGTTCGAATGATTCACGTAAACAAATTAATCCGAAACAAATCAGTCTCTTAAGTTTAGAAATTATGATTAATTAATTGTTATTTACATTTATTGTTATAAACATATATTCACGTACGGCGGCCTTGGTGAAGTGTCGGAATCTTTGTGCATCTTAATAATAAATATTCATAAACAATAGAATATATTTAGAAACGTAATAATCTTAGAAAGATTTTATTGATTCAAATAAATAGAATTGTTTCAACAAATAATTTCAAAATTTCATAGAAATAAAATCGCAGAGGCCGCCCTGATCACCCACACATCAACATAAACTTGAAAGAATAAATCATACATTCACTATCTATCAAGTACATTAAATTACATTTAATATTTACAAAAAAAAATTATCATTAAATAAATATGTCAATTTGGCAGAAATTTTCTATAATAATATTTTTGTTGAAAAAAAAATATGTGCCCAAAACGAAAGCCCATTTTTATTGTCACCCACGAAATGAAGATTGCATATAAAATTAATAAATTAATATACACACGTGTGTGTAAACGCAATTTGTTTGAGTCCATCGTCCGCACAAGTCCAGTATAAAGTCCAGAATATATATATCACAGTAGCGCAAAGCGCCATACTCCGACCGGCCATCGTTCGCACTGACTAGTCTATCTACAATTCATTCCATCCTAATTTACGTATTAATCGCGCGTTGTATAAACATCAGTCGCTTTTGATTTCTGGGAAAAATTAGTTGAGGACTTAGATATCGCTCAATTAATTAGAAAAAAAGTATTCGTTTCAAGTAGCAATTTTGTTTTTTCTCGGTTCATACAAGGAATTTTTGAACGCATGACTCATGACATGATGAAACGCCATACGTAGCGATCAATCGAGAAAGAAACCGTCTGTTCATCCTAAGAATAAAAAATAAATTTGGATTTAATGACGTTCACATTAAGGTTCTATTTTAAGCTGAAACAGTTTAAATTTATATTTTTTATCCATAGGAATTCAGGTTCTAAACGAACTATACATTTAGCTATTTTTAATGTATGTACTAGATCCCCAGAAATCAATGGCAGTGACAACACCTTATGTAATAAATGTATATCCCTTTATTCATAAAAACGTCAAATATCTAATAGATATATTTTTTGAAATTTGAGTAGTATGTCTCTATCTTTCCAGTAAAATTTTTGATTTGAAAGAAAGTGACAAAATGCAAATAGGCTTGGTTCCCACTACGGTTTGATGAACTAACCAATAGCTAGAGTGCCAGTTACAGAAAGTTTTTTCATATTTAAACGGATCGAGAAAAAATCCGGGTACGGTTTTCGTGACGGATCCGTTTGTGTGAAAACGTCTTGGCAAAGGTTTTAGTGAATCAAGTCGGAGCGGCGTAGTGGGAAGCGACCCTAATATAATATTAACAGTTTTTATGAATAATGCGAATACACTTTAAAACAAATCGGTGACTATGGTACCGAACCACGCGCACACAACGGGTAAGGCGTACGTGAAGAGTGCCTTCTGTAGTGATGGCCGGTCGGCGGAGTCGGCGACCGGATCGGTGGGCGCCGGCGCCCGGCTGTCTGGCGCGGCGTCCGGCTCGGACTCCGCCGGCGTCTCCTCGCTCCGGCCCCGGACGTTGACGTTGTTGGTGCCGGGCCCGTCCACCACGTTGGGTATGAACGGCGGCTCGGATGCCGGTACCCGTCTTTCATTGTCGTCTACCGTGGACTCTTTGGGCGGACTCTCGCCTGATCCACCTGTGGGAAAGAGATTCATATTGTAATTTTTTTCTAATCCCAAAAATAACGTGTACAATGAGTTCTCAACAACGACGTATATAAATACTTTTTTTAAATACTCGTACGTTTGTAAGTAACGGATGTACGATTATATTTAAAAAGAAAGAAAACACTCAGTGTTTGATAGTGAGAGGATCGGATCCGCAATCATAGGCAGGAAGGCGAAAGTGTTAAACTGTACATAACTGTATGTGCAGTTATCTGCAGTGCAGTGCGGTGCCACTGGGCGGGCAAACGATGAGTGGAGGCGGCCAGGCCCCTGTTCCTGAGGGGCCTCCAAATGCCTCTATTTTCTTCATCCAAATCCATATTCTATGTATAATTTAAATTTCACGTGCAAGATTTTGGCAAAATGAACATAAACATTTAATGAATAGATTTGCCTGTGTTTTTTCAGATATTTTGGTATTGTCACAGATAGTGAACCCATTGTTGATATCTGATTAATTAGATTCGTTAACAATGTTTTTAATCACTGGAATATCCGTTGGGATGATTCCCATATATATATATATATATATATATATATATATATATATATATATATATATATATATATATATATATATATTTGAATATTTTTGGCAAATTTTTACATTTGTATTTTATTATGACTAAGCATTGAAAAATACATACTATTCTAAAACTGTTAATGCTACTGACCTTCTGGATAGTCATCATCGTCGTCGATGTTCTCCGTGTCGTAGGTGCCGTCGTCACCGGAGCCTGAGCCGGAGCCTCTGAAGTCCTGCCGGTCGGGGAGCCAATAAGGGGACACCCGGGGCTTATCTGTAACTATCATCATAATTATATCAGACGTTTCCTGTCCACTGTTAATACATCAAAACTGGGGGGAAAGGGATTGTTAGTAATGGAGACTGAGAATCCCATTGCTAGCAATATACCCAACCAGGTCGACCTCCTCGCAGTTCTCCCTGGAAACTATCATGGTTAATTCCTGATGAATTCATCATGATGGACTAACTGGCCTGTTTTCATTCTCATCTATCACCCTTCACTGGTGCTCCGCCGGCGTATCCCGTTAACGCAGGCGGGGTTACCATACCATTTTCACCCATCAAAAAAAAATACATCAAAACTTGTAAAATAAAAAAAATATATACTTTTTGTAACTCATGTGTTATTTTGAGATTTGTTGTTTGCGATATTAAACCTTTTATTCAGCTAAGCTGGTGAATAGTAAGCCTGATAGTTAAGCCTGAGAGAATAATTTATGCCACAACAGCGGCCAATCTTCGTGAAATGTACGAATTGTCAGTAATGGAGGTCTAGGGGGTCTCTCTAAAGGTTCACCTGATTAGGTTTTTTTTATACAACTTAGAATAGCAAACAAGCTGACGGCCCACCTGATAGAAATTGGTAACCGTCGCCTATAGACATGAACAGTACCATGGACATAACAGAGTATACTGTTTCGCCCATGATAACCCCCATGCGTTGCCATTCCTGAGGACTCAGATGTTATTCCTCTGTACCCAGTAAATTCACGCCATATCCCACCCTTCAAACCGAAGCACAGTCATGCAAACACAACTGCTTCACGGTTGAAACACGAATGGGACAGAGGTACCCAATCACTAATATCCTATCAAGTCAACCTTCACGTGATCATCTGGCGATAGCAAGAGGGATCAATGGATCTGGCGTTCTTACTTATCATTACTCACTGAGAACATGCAATTTACGCTCATTATGATTCAAGATTGCGCACGCAGGACTGTTATCCCATTTGTATCACTTAAAAAAAACGAAATTCCTTGATACTGACCTTCCTCTACCCACTGCACCTCGACTCCATTGTACGCATCCTTCAGCTGGCCGGTGAGGAACTTGAGCGTGATGAGTTGGTTTCGCATCAAATCGATGCTGCTGGGCGACACCTCGCCGCGGACCTCGGGGTTCGATGCGAGGGCTACGCTGCCTTCGCCCGCTGGACTCCTTGTATAACTGGTGGGAAAGAGGGAGCAATTGATAAGTATGGTGCGGACGTTCTCTCTATCGCATGTAGTAGCGAAACTGTATCTATTCACAGAATTCTTTGCCACATATCTAGAGCTGCTTGTATGTCTCTGCCGACTCATAAAGGAGGATATGGCGAGAGGTATGTTTGAAGACAGATGGGGGGGGGGGGGCAAGAGAATAGATGAAGAGATTGTTGGTAATGGGGTCTAACAGTTCCATTGCTAACAATATACTCGAGTCCCCCGAGTGGTAGGGTGAGCACTAGCCACCCTATCTTGAGAGAGGACACCTGCCCTTACCAACAGGGGGTAGGTCGTTGCTCTCGGAGATGTAATGATTGTGAAAGCGAACCCATGTCTCCGACATATGGCATTAAAAAAAAAAGAGTCGATCACCAATGTCATTAATTCATAGTGAATTTATCATATAGGGCCAACTGATCTGACTTTACAATTATCACCATTATTATACCATAAGGACAACATGCAGAGAGTCCAAGGTGTGGTTACCTGGCGACGTGTGTGCCGTTAGAGCAGGGCGCGGTGGTGATGCTCAGGTGGACGCACAGCACTGCCGGCAGGTGGAGCCAGTAGTGCTGCGTGCTGCGCAGCCGCGACCGGGTGTCGCGCACCAGCTTCTCCAGGGCTGGCGCGCCCCAATCCTCTCCTAAGTACACGTTACGTATATATTTTTTATTTTTATTCACTAGTTGTGCTGGAAGAAGTGCGTGCTTCTTTCACGTTATTTGCTGCTTCATTATGTATCTTTAATTGCTTTGGTAGAAACAAATTGTAAAACTATATCCTGGACATTTGGAGAGGAAGAAATATCAGTAATGGGGTCCCATTGCTAGCATAATATCCTGACAAGTACACTCTGGTAACTACTTTTTGGTACTTTATGGAAACCATCATAGTTAATTTATGGCGAATTTATCACAATGGACTACTTGACTTGCTTTCATCTCCTCATTTATCAACCATTCCATTGTATCCTTGGCCATGCCAGAAAAATCTATCAAAAAAATTAGTTTTCGTTGCAATCTGCATAAAAAGAACGTGACAATAATGTGCATCTTAAATTTTCTCATGCTGGTTGGAAAGAAAACGTATCTATTGATGAACTTTTTCTATTACCGTTTAACAGTTTTGGTTGCAAATCGTACAATAAGAATATTATGGTCAAATGGTGGCACGGCTTATATTTACAAAGGGCTACTTACCGCGACCTTCGTCTATTTTGGCTGCTGGTTTTTTCGTATAAACTACATTTGATGAGTAAATGTCGTAGTCTTCCTCGTGTTCGAGGGGCACGCTGTCCTCATCTGGCTGTGGGTCGGCATCTCTCTTCTTCCTCTCGCGTTCTTCATACTCTTCATACTCGTCCAGATTTATATTCCCCTTCATATACTGGAGGAACCGCTCCCTCGATTTGGCCTGCTCAGCCATCTGTTTTGTCGCTTTCCTAATATCCTCGGGAGTCTTCAAACCCAACAGAGACGGGTCCTCATTGAGGATGCTCTCGAATGACGCTTCTATCTCAAAGTCATCAACGTCATTCGTCTTTGGATTCCAATCGAAATCTGGTATTGATTTTACTGATCGGCGACTCCGTTCCGGCGCTTGGAAGGGGCCGGTGCTGCCGCCACTTCCTAAACTTGGCTGCCCGCAGATTGTAAATATCTTTTTCGATATGTCCTGGTTGTGCTCCTGGAAACTCATGATGGCTTCTGATATCTTGATATCAATCGGTTCGACGACCATAGCAATGTTGAACGGTCCGAGCAAGCGATCGCCCACTTTGTCTACGGCGTCTGAAAATACAAATTTAGAGATTGGTGTTAGCTATTGTCATTAGTGCTTATGCGAGAGAGACGCCATCTAGAGTCAAAAGTTATACCACCTTCGTTGACTTTGACATGATAAATGGTAGTATTTTTTTATGATACAAAACTGAATTTGAAAAATTCAGTGATATATTTTTTAAGGGCAAACGAGTATGTAGTTCATCTGATGGTAAGCGATTACTGTCATCCATAGCTACCTGCAACTTCAGAGAAATTGCAGGTATACACCTGCAATTTCTCTGCCTCGAATACGAGGCAATACTGCTGACCTTTTAAGAAGGAATATACTCTTTTCTTAAAGGTTTCTCTCGTATAAGAATTGGGGTATATAGGTAAATCTTGGAGTCCATCGAGATAAAGATCTGTACATCTTCATAGTGTCACAAAGATATTGATCCCAGTAATATCACTGCCACATAAAACATATGGGAGCACGACAGCAGCGTCTTTGAGTGCTACTTCATTATGCTTGATGATTGAATAAATGAGCGTTGGTGGGGGGGGGGGGGGGGGAGATTTTTAGTAATGCGGACTATCAGTTCCATTGCTAGCAATATGCCCCATAAGGTCGATCCCCCCCCCCATCTGGAAACCATCGTGCTGAATTCTTGGTGGATTCATCACGAAGGGCTAACTGACCTGCCTTTTCATTCTCACCTATCATCCCTCACTGGTTCTCCGCTGGTGTATACTATTAGCGCGGGTGGGGTAACTATAATGTTGTAAAACATTTGATATACTTTGCACGCTTAAATAACTTGCCTTTATAATAATAAAAAAAAAAACTGCTTGAAATGAATGCACACTTTTATTGAAGGACGCCATGACACTTGCTTAATTACATTTTCCAATGTTGCCAACCTTAGGAACAATAATTTCCAATATACTACAGTAACCATTCCATTATCATCAATTAAAAAAAAAATCAGTGTGACAGAGTATATTATACGGATAATTTAATTAAGAGAGATTAAGTCTACCAACTCACAGACATAACCGTCCCAATGCTCACTGAGGTCTGCGTGCACGGGCAGGCAGCCGCGGGCCACGTTGTGGCAGTACCGGCTGCACGCGGGTTCCGTGACACCACCGCACGTACCGCAGTAGCTGAGGCGAGCCCACGCCTTCACGCACTCGTCGCTTACTCCCACCTGATATATTGTGCCTAAATTATTAACTATCCAACTAAAGGTTAAGGGGATTGCTGATTATGGAGTCAGGTAGTTTCATTGCTAGCAATATAGAGTATACTGTCAGGTCCACTTCTAAGCAGAACTGGGAACAAATCCTCTCCATCCAAAGATTGCAGGAACAGATTGCTTTTAGCGTAAGGCCGCCCGTGTTTTTACAATGTGAACATTTCTTATAATTGTTTGTATCAATCTATAATGAGTTTACTACTGTAATCTTTTGAAGGAAATAATAAAAAGTATCTGTCTAAATTATTAACTGTTTAATTTTGGAGCCTTGTGGTCCCGGCATACAATAGTCCACCCTTTCCTTTCCTGTGGGTGTCATAAGAGGCGACTAAAGGAACATAATGGTAGAGGGATGGGCAGCACCGTCCTTTTTACATTTTTAAAGCCTAATGGTGGTTGCCAACCCGCATGTCAAGTGTGGCAATTACTGGCAAAACTCTCCTTATGAGGAAGGCTTATGTTCAGCAGTGGACAGTTAATGGCTGAATTGATGACAATAATGAATTATTGGATGGAGGTGATTACTAGTAATGGAGTCTAGTCGTCTTACAGCTAGCAATAACAGAACTATTGAGGTTATTAAGTTCGTCATGATGAGCCAGTTGACTTGATTTCATTCTAGCTTATCATCTCTCACTGGGAGTAAGGGATTATTAGTAATGAGATCTATTTATCTATCAATTCTATTGCTAGTAATATACCCTATTAGGACGGTTTCCATTCAGTTCCCCTTGAAAACCACTGTGGTTAATTGAATCATGTTGAATTCGTCACGATGGGCCAACTGACCCGCTTTCATCTTCATCTGTCTTTCACTGGTGCCCCGTCAGCACATACCGATAGTTACATACCGGTAGTACTGGGGTTACTGTTTAATTTTCATCCAATAAAAAAAAATCAGCCCTCACTACCACATTGTGCATTTACTCTATGGTCTAATTATAACATTTTAAAGTTTCTAGTAGTTTTAAGCTAAGGTGAATTTTGACTTATCCTTGTATTCAATAAAAATTAAAAATTATTCACAGTCATGAAGACATTTGCGTAGTAACGTGAAATACACAAAAAATCGAATCGAATGAGAAGTTTTATCTTTTTTAAGTCGACTCGTAAAAAATAATGATGTGTATATTAAAGTCTAATAAAAAGAAACTGCATTATCAGAATATTAAGAGGTTAGTCTGTGTACAGTAGACAAAAAAGAATAAGAAAAAAAAACTCAGTTAATACGGAGTCGACACTGACATTGAGAATTAATAAAATGTAAAAAAGTCTACATTGGTTTTTATTTGGGTGAATTTATCTTGTCCTAAATGAAAACATATAGATAGGTTACATAGGAATAACATGTTTGATTATCACTTATATAATAAATGTGCGAGACGGTGTTTACCTTATTATGTTTATTGACGCCTGTTTGGCGGTATTATTTACATAAGAAACGCTGTTGATTCTTAATTTGAAAAAGTTGATGTGTGATTATTTCTTTTTGGGAATTTTTTCTCTGATACTAAAACTGTATTGTATTACATACATACATATCAACCGTTAATGATGATTATAGTTAGGTATCATCATCATCATCTCATCACCATCGTTATATCAGCTGTTAAGTTTTCACTGCTTAACATGAAGCTCCACCATAAGAGGGTTTTGCCAGTAGTTGCCACACTTGGTAGGTGGGTTAACAATTGTAGTTTGGTTTTGGTGATATTTTAAGAGGGACGATGTTATGTTATGTTTTGATCATTATGCATATTGTATAGTAAAATCTTGATTTTACATGAATTCCATGATCATGATAATTTCACGTTTTTTCAATCGACATCAGTAAGATGGAGATTCTCAAATCGGTTGTATTTTTTTTTATGTTTATTACTTTATAACTCAGTCAGTTCGAAACCTATTTAGGTAATTCTACGGATTGGTTCCATACAAATTTTATCGAAATTAATCCAGTAGTTCAGTTTTGAAATTAAAATAACAGGTTTTGACACAATTAAAGTCTGTGAAGGTTTGTTTGTGGAATACAATATTTAATGTTATTTTTTTGTATGAAGTTAGGTCAGATGTTAATATTTCTTTGTTCTTTAATAGTGAGACATAATAATTATGTTGGTACATATCTGTGTAAATGACTTCATGCCCTTAGTCAGTTCTAAAATAATCACCACATTTATGTATGTATTAATCATGGCGCGTAATTTATTTATATGGATTGATTTATATGGAACGGACAAGACGGCAGGTTTAGTTTAAACAAAATTGGCACTTTTATATGAGTTCTGTCGCGATTTGATGTCAGATTTGCAGTATTTACAGGAAGTTTAAGATTTAAAAAAAAAAGGAGACAAAAGTATTTAAAGGAAATTTAAGATTTAAAAAAAGAAGACAAAAGTATTTAAAGCAAGTTTAAGATTTAAAAAAAGGAGACAAAAGTATTTAAAGGGAGTTTAAGATTTAAAAACTCCTTTATTCATAAAAACGTCAAACTCTCATAAACCTATTTTAGCTATGGAACTGTTTTATCTCTTCCTTTTACGCTAAATTCCTAATTTAAGAAAAAGTGACAAAACAGATGGTTAAAATAGGTTTGTAGAAGGTTCTATTTTTTACGAAAAAGGAAGTTTGTGTTTAATGATTTTTTTTTTAACTACGTAATTAAATGAAATTAAAATTAAAAATAACATATATTTTGCTAAGATTTTTGGGCCCATTTGCATTATAATGTCCATGCTTAGTTAAAATGTTAAAGTCAAATTTGATTGTTATATATACTTATATAGACATAGCCTTCTATAGCCAATGGATACCACTTTCTATCAGGTTGGCCACCAGCTTGTTCGCCATTCTAAGTTGCATAAAAAATTGCATTATTTGTAAATACATAAATAGATGTGTTTTATTATAATTATATATCTATATTTTTTTTTATAATAATAAATGAATACATATATGAACTTGCAAATACAGAATAACAGATATTTTTTTTATCTATTATCTATTTTTTAAACGACACGTGACAACGGGAATAGCGGTAGAGTTAAAAAAATGTTAAATTTCATAAAATCGCTTCCATCCTGCCAGTGTGAAACGATAATTCACAGGCGCCATATGGGATCATTGCACGACAAAATACAAAATGTTGCTTCGCTTGTCTCCGAGTTATGAGTCATAAAAGTTGATGTCAGAACCGAGAATCGAGTCGGAGGCAAGACGCGACTCGAATATTGATTCGATAAATAATTTGCATCCTTAATACGCGAAGTCCATTTATTCAATATGTCCGCTACTAGACGTTACCTGTCCGAGTTGACTAAATTACGACTCGCCAGACACGCCTCGTCTCGAATAGTATATTCCGCGGTATTTTTGATCTCCTGGTACTCTATAGGAATTTGTGTCAGTCGTATAAATGTTAAGCGAGTGCCTGGAATATGTATATTTCGCGGTATTTTTGATCTCCTGGTACTTAACGCCAGTTATATAAATAGTATTTTTTTAATGGATTTTAAAAGGACGAGATTCTCAATTTATCTGTATCTAAGTGGTGACCAATGGTGAAGAGACAATCAATCGTTACTATTACACTTCGTCATATCATATTTATGTCAAATTATTAAGCTTTTTTTTATACCACTAATGTGGCAAACAAGCATACGGCCCACCTGATGGTAAGTGGTTACCGTAGCCTATGAACACCTGCAATACCAGAGGTATTACGCGTGCGTTGCCGACCCTGAAGAAACCTCTTTACCCCCCTTTTGAAGAACCCCATGCTGTAGTCTCTTGGGAAAATCTCGGTAGCTAACCAACTACTTATGAGTCGACGAATATAATTAATTATATTAAATAAAAAAAAAACCTACTAATATACCTGTAATGTGAATATGTTTGGATGTGTAAATGTTTGTTACTCATTCACACTTAACAGCTGAACAGATTTGAATGAAATTTGATACACGGCTTACCTAATGTATCAAATTATATCATATCTTAATATGTCTTCTATCAGCCATTAATTGTCTATTATTGAACATAAGTCTTCCCTTAGGGTTATGCTAGTAGTTGCCACGTTTGGCAACCGGTGGATTGGCAACCGCAGTTACATTTTGGAGATGTTTTAATAGGGACGCTGCAGCCTATCCCTCGCCCTCCTTAGTCACCTCATACGACACCCACAGGAAAGGAAGGGGTGGCCTATTCTATGCCGAGACCATACGTGTTCGCGACATTATTTGTATATATGTAATCGTAATTTATAGTTGTTAAGTCCCTAGTTAATCGTTTCTGTATTCTGTTATTTTATATAGATTTACATAGATTTAAGATAGTGTAAGTTAAATAAAGTATTCCTTTGTGTGTTGTCATTATTACCTACGAATAGAAATAGAAATTGTAACAATAAATAGAATTAAGAACTTGTAAATTGCAATAAATAAACGCTATAGAGTACCGATCTGAAGAGACACGCGTCTCGTTCTTTCTCGCCCCGTCCCGCTCGCGCAGATTCGCTAACGCGAGTTGGAAACGTTATCATGCGAGCGGGCGGGTATAAAGATAGGCCGCCTCTCGTCGAGCGGCATTCGCTTCAGGGCAGCGACGCACTACACTCGAGAAGAAATAGGACAAGAAGAAAAAATACTCTCTTCAGACGGTACCGGAGGCTTCAGAATAGTAATCGCCGTGTTTCACTCCAGCCTGAACCAACGCCCCTACAGTCCACGCTCACCGAACGGCAGTCCACACCGTTCATCGTGGTCCTTCGAGAAGCCGGATTGCTGGAGGAACACCGTTGGTACATCGAGAAGCCGGATCGCTGGAGGAAGACCATTCTGAAGCCGGATCGCTGAAATGCCGACTACGAGAAACATGAAGTCGTCGCAACAAAAAATCGCCGTCACCGAAGCCACAACGTCCGCCGCCACCACGTCGACTACGGCCGCCGGAACGCTGTCCGTCGCTGCCACGCCGTCCGTTGCTGCCACCACGTCGTCTGCGGCTGTCAGAATGCCTTCTGTCGCTGCCACGTCGTCTACCGCCGCCACCACATCGACTACGAACACGTCCGGCGATACGACGACCACAGGAGCCACGGAGACTACCGAAGCCACAGGAACGACAGAGGAGACAGCAAGGAAGAAGGAACCGAAGCACGGCACGGCACGCACGGTTCGCACCACGGCCTCGCAGAAGAAGAAGGCTCTGGCCAAGGCACGGGAGGAGCTACTTCGAAAGGAGGTGGAATTGGCCGCCGCACGTGTCGCCGCCCTGGAAGCCGAATCAGAGGACGACGAGGAAGTAGAAGACGACGACGCTACCGTCAGAAGAGAACGAACGTCGGATTGGGTTCGTCGAAGCACGCTGGCACTCACAATGGAGCCGCATGTACCAGAGATAGAAGAAGTCACCGGCAAGCGTCAGGGGTTCGTCCCATCGAGACCCGTTGAAGAGGATTCGAGAGCGCCGCCGCCACAGCCGAGCAGCGACGCACTTCACCGGGACCACGCACGCCACGTTGACCCACATGCCGCCATGCCTACGATAGCAGCAGCGATGCAGTCGATGAAGAAAGAAGAACCGGTGCTGAAGGTGGGCATCGATTGTAATGAGTTTGCGATCGCCATGCAGATGGCCGCTCGCAACATACTGCCCTCCACAGCGTCAAGAGTCACCGAGTTGCCAGTCTTCAATGGATCGTCGAGCGAGTGGTTACCATGGAAGATGGCCTATGAAGAGAGCGCAAGTCAACTCACAGAACAAGAGAACCTAGCAAGACTGCGCAGAAGCTTGAAGGGGGCCGCAAAGGACGCGGCACGCTCCCTATTCGTCGGGTCTACGACCGCAGAAGAAGTAATGAAGATGTTAGCCGCGAGGTTCGGCCGCCCTGGAGCACTCGTCACAGCCGAACTGAACAAACTCCGCGCGCTACCACGACTCTCGGACAACGCAAGAGACGTCTGCCTCTTCGCAAGCAAGGTGCAGAACGTCGTCGCCACGATACGAGCGCTGAACAAGAGTCACTACCTCTACAATGAAGAAATAGTGAGAAACGTCACAGAGAAGATGCCGTCGGTACTACGCTTCAAGTACTACGATTTCGCCAACGACCAACCGGAGGGACAACCGGACCTCATAACACTCTCTCAGTTCCTGCAAAGGACCGCCGCACGATGTGGAAACTTCGCCCCCGCCGAGGAGATACCGTCCGAAGACCGGCGGGAGTCCGCTCCTAGGAAGACGGCGAAGACATACACGACGCAGGAGAAACCCGCTACACCACCGTGCCCGATGTGTCGACGAGAGGGACACGCTCCATCGGACTGCAAGACGATGAAGGAAGCGGACACATCGGCGAGATGGGAGCTAGCGAAGACTCATAGGCTGTGTTTCCGTTGCCTCAAAGTGAGAAGATTTCGCCACGCCTGCAAGAGCAAGAGATGTGGAGTAGATGAGTGCACGCAGACTCATCACCCTCTGCTGCACACCACGCGACAACAGCCGGAGAATGAAGTAACAACACACGTCGTCGAGGACAAGTCCGCCGCAGTCACCGCATCGGCAAGGGAAAACGACAAGATCGCGTTCCTGAAGATCCTGCCGATACGAGTCACCGGTCCCACGGGAACGTGCGACACCTACGCGCTACTGGACGACGGGTCGACTTGCACCATCATCGAGACGACGGTGGCGAAGCGAATCGGTGCTACGGGTCCCCCCGCACCATTCTACATGGAAGGTGTGGCCGGGGCACGGATCAACGCAGCTCAATCGACGCGTGTTCACTTCAAGATCCACGGGCGGAATTCACAAGAATACACAGTGGGGGCACGGACGATGGACAGACTGCAGTTATCACCGCAGTCGGTACCACGCAGCGTCATCAAGGGCTGTCCACATCTGCGGGACATAGAGAGGGAATTGGTCTATGAAAAGGGCAAACCGACGGTACTGTTGGGGCAAGACAACTGGCACCTACTGCTGGCCCACGAAGTTAGAAGAGGATCCGACACGCAGCCGGTCGCATCACTCACCGACCTGGGATGGGTACTGCACGGTACGAGTCGCGGCAGGACAAGACAGCAGGTGCATAGAATCAGCCACATAGTGACGACACATGAAGAGGAACAATCGATGGAAGAAATGATGAAGCAACATTTCGCGCTCGAATCGCTAGGAATCGCACCGAAGAGATCTTACAATGAAGAAGAACGTCGCGCCCTACGCATCTTAGAGGAGAAAACTCGTCCGTTACCGGCGGGAGGATACGAGACGGGGTTATTATGGAAGAAGGACGACCCTGTGCCGCCGGACAACTACGACTCGACGATGCGACGTCTCCGACCGGTCGAAAGGAATTTCGACAAAAATGAAGAGCAGTGGCCGCGTGAAGATAGTACGAGCGACGATAGTCAAGCGGAAACGGGAGAAGAACGCGTACACAAGCTACAGAACGCGACGCAGTTGTCTATAGCATTACCCGATCCGTCACGTTTTTCTAATTGGTTGAAACTTGTTCGCAGTTCAGCACGAGTGTTGCAGTTCATCGACCTCCTGCGACCGACCAGTCAACGCTGTACCGCCATCCGAAAGAGAAACAAGAAGAAAGAGAGCGCCGACCCCACTTGGACCCGCACGAAGAAAGTCGATAGAGAGAAGACGAAGATGAAAATCAAGAACAGCAATAGTCCATCTGTGTGTTTCATCCCCATAGACACACACTACCTCGATCGCGCGCGACGGCTATGGATTCGCGCGATACAACAAGAGGCGTTCGGCGACGAAATCGCAGCATTGAAACATGGGAAACAGCTGCCGTCATCCAGTCGACTCATACAGCTGTCAGTCGTCATAGACAACGACGACATTCTGCGACTTCGATCGAGAATAGCAGCCGCCGCCGATTTGTCAGCCGAGCAACGAGAGCCCCCCATCGTCGACGGAAACCACACCTGGGTGCGCCTATACATCGCATGGGTGCATCGGAAACTTCACCACGGCGGCTTCGAGATCACCACGAACGAGGTGCGACAACACTTGTGGGTGTTGCGCCTACGACACGCCGTCCGCAGTGAACTGAAGAGGTGTCAGCTGTGCCGCCTACGAAGAGCAAGACCGGCGCAGCCATCAACGGGCAACCATCCACATAGCAGGTTGGCGCATCATCAACGACCGTTCACGTTCACCGGCCTAGACTACTTCGGGCCTATGACCGTGACAGTGGGCCGCACTCACCAGAAACGATACGGAGTGCTCTTCACCTGCCTAACGACGCGCGCAGTCCACCTAGAAATCGCCGGCAGCCTCAGCACGGACTCCGCCATAATGGCCCTGCGGCGCTTCATAAGCCGCAGAGGGTGTCCCACTGAGCTATGGTCCGACCAAGGCACCAACCTCAAAGGTGCTGACGTCGAACTGAAGAAAGCAGCCGAGGAAGCCATCCAAGAAGAGTCATCAGTCCATTTCATCCGGTGGCGCTACATTCCCCCGAGCGCACCCTTCATGGGAGGTGCGTGGGAACGGCTGGTGCGTAGCGTGAAGACCGCACTAGCCGCTACGTTGAACGAGCGGGCGCCCAAGGAAGAGGTCCTCCACACTCTGCTGGTCGAGGTCGAGCACACCCTCAATAGTCGACCGCTAACCCACGTGTCAACATCGGCAGACGACGACAGCGCCCTAACCCCCAATCACTTCATATTGGGCGGTCCATCGCGCGTCCCACTGCCAGGCAGCTTCACCGAGAGCGACGCGGCGGGACACAAGGAGTGGCGTGCCAGCCAGAGGCTAGCTGACTGCTTCTGGAACCGGTGGGTGAAGGAGTACCTACCCGAGTTGCAACACCGGCGGGAGCCCCGAGCTACACACGGAGCCATCAAAATGGACGACCTGGTCCTGATAGCTGATGGGACCTTGCCTCGCAACACGTGGCCGCGAGGCGTGGTGGTGGCGACCTACCCTGGACCAGACGGCGAGGTTCGAGCAGTCGACGTGCGGACGAACAAGGGCATCCTACGGCGACCCACTAAGAAGTTGATCATACTGCCCACATCGACATCGAGCGACGCGAACACGAGTTAACTCCAGCTACGAGAGCTGCGGCGGGAGATTATGTTCGCGACATTATTTGTATATATGTAATCGTAATTTATAGTTGTTAAGTCCCTAGTTAATCGTTTCTGTATTCTGTTATTTTATATAGATTTACATAGATTTAAGATAGTGTAAGTTAAATAAAGTATTCCTTTGTGTGTTGTCATTATTACCTACGAATAGAAATAGAAATTGTAACAATAAATAGAATTAAGAACTTGTAAATTGCAATAAATAAACGCTATAGAGTACCGATCTGAAGAGACACGCGTCTCGTTCTTTCTCGCCCCGTCCCGCTCGCGCAGATTCGCTAACGCGAGTTGGAAACGTTATCATGCGAGCGGGCGGGTATAAAGATAGGCCGCCTCTCGTCGAGCGGCATTCGCTTCCGGGCAGCGACGCACTACACTCGAGAAGAAATAGGACAAGAAGAAAAAATACTCTCTTCAGACGGTACCGGAGGCTTCAGAATAGTAATCGCCGTGTTTCACTCCAGCCTGAACCAACGCCCCTACAGTCCACGCTCACCGAACGGCAGTCCACACCGTTCAATACGAGATAACGAATTTGGCGAATTCGGGAATAACGTCTTAAAAATGAGGGATGTAGCACCTTCAAGTTGAAAATACTCACTCTCATCATGTTCCTGACGACATCGGCGCCGGCCCTCAGTGATTTGTGAAGTGTACGCGTGGCGACGAACGCTCGCCGCAGCTGTACGGACAGCTTGTTGGGGACGTCCTCGAACGGCTGGATGTCACGCATGTTGCTATTCACGCATTTCAAGTATCTGCAAATAGAATGACATGGTCAAGTAAGATTATTAGGACTTTTTTAATCGGTAATTTGATACAGCAGGTATTTTTTTAAAACACAGGGGGCAAACGAGCATGCGGCTCACCTGATGGTAAGTGACTACCGCCGCCCATGATCACCCACAACACCAACGGCATTGCAAGTGTGCTGCCGGCCTTTTAAAAAAGAATATGCTCTTTTCTTGAAGGTTATGATGTCGTATCGGTTCGGAAATTATTAGCAGGTCAGTTGGCCTATTATCAAACAATTATTGTTATATTATAGAAACAACTACACTGTTTCCTCCTATTATTGTACGCACACTGCCCGCTGGTAATTAATGCTCCTTTCCACTCAGGGTTTGCTGGAAGAGAACTCTTATAGAGTGAAGCTCGTCTTTTGGACATTTTTATTTAATATATTTTGTAATTTTTTGTGTACATTAAAGTTAAAATAAATATACCCATAAAATATACCCATATTGCTAGCAATGGAACTGTTTTTTTTTTTGCTTCTATGTACTGGGTTTGGATCCCCAAGCATTTGCGGTTGCGCTTTTGGTGTACGCTCGCATATGCCAAGGTTTGCAGTCGATTAGGTAATTATATGGGTAAAGAATTTGGGCTTCATCATTAAGTGGGTACTGAGAGCATGAGTTTTAAGATAACCTTTCTGATGCGGATTGATGGGCGGTGAGTTATCGTTGTGGATTTTACGATTTACAAGTTACGCAGTTGACGGAGTCGATAGAAAAATTTGGAGAAAATTTGAGATTTTTTGAAGAGGGTGAGTATGCAGTCGAACTGTTAGATTCCTATTACTAATAATCCCTTCCCACGGATTATTAGGACTTGGTTTCTTATATAAGACGCTTCGCTTCTAGTCCTGGGACGGGCACCAGACAATTCTGGGGTAGACACTACCCACTTGGTAAATCATGATGAATAATACGAGATTTTAAAGGAAATTTAGATAGAACAAAGTGTCTGTTAGCTAGCAATAAAGAAAATGACATTTATAGAGCTTAGAAAAGTTACTTTTCTCAGCTTCAAAACGAATCGACACAAAGGCAAACCACTCAGTGTTAATAAAATCAAATTATAGCCTCTCTGGAGGACCTAGGCTTTTAATATCAATTCCTTTTTATTCTTAGGTTGGTTGTTACGTATTTTCTGTAGAAGTAAAAAAAAAAATGTTCTCTACAATCTTTTGTTTTGTTTACAATTTTATTTTTTATTATATTTTATATGTTATCCGAGTATGCATTAAACGTAAGCGTAAATGGTGCTGATATCATTCTATGGGTTAAGTACCCACAATAAAATATTATTATTATCTAATATATAAAATTCTCGTGTCGCGGTGTTTGTTACCAAACTCCTCTGAAACGACTTTACCGATTTTTATGAAATTTTGTGTGCATATCGAGTAGGTCTGAGAATCGGCCAACATCTATTTGGAGGGGTATGAAACCCCTCAATCATAAGGGTGACCCTAAATATATTTTTTTTATTTTTTTGTCAAAATTTTTCATTTTAATTTTGTTATGATTTAGCATTGAAAAATATATACAAATTAAAATTTTCACGCTTTTACAATCAACCCGTTTTTTAATCGCGATTTTTATATGCCGCAATAGGGTTGCAAGGTGGCAATTGAATATAACAAATGTAGTACAAGAAATTATCATGCATAGTTTTCGAAATAATGTATATGGTAAAACAAAGTTTGCCGAGTCAGCTAGTATTATTATAATATTTTATAGTAATAATGGATAAGATTTTTATTTCTAAAGTTTGTGTTCATTTTAGACGCTGTCTGTATATATGTATAACGGAATATTTTGAGACGAGACGCTGTGACGCAAAATACCAAACGCCCCCTAAAGACTTCCGGAAGAAGTAGAAACAATTGTCGGTAACGACAAAAACATAGCGAGTTCATAAAATTTCCCGTTATACATACATAAAGATTAGATTATATAGATAGAGCATCGGGTGTAGAAAACGTGTCAACTTTTAGTCGGCCAAACGTCAAATTGGCTGACACATGCTTTTTTTTAAACCAACACAAACTAATTCTTTTTCAGTGTTACAAGCAATTAGATTAAAATTTGAATTAGGAACTATTTTATCTATATTTTGTATCTATCTATCTATTTTTCTGATATAAGTATACAAATGTACGTAATGCTTACAAATTAATATACATGTGTTAAATAAAACGGCGCCCATTTTCTATTATTTAAAAATGATAACGATAAGAATAATTCAAAATTATCTTTATTTATTTATTTTATTTAATTCTTATATATTCATTAAAGATAAGGATTATTACGAATACCTAATAATGGAAAAATAAATTTTATATCGTTTTTATTTTTCAATTTAAACTTACAATATATTTTCTCCCGTGCCGTCATTATATCAACCGTTAATTGTCTGCTACTTAACATAGGCCTCCCTCTAAGGAAACTCCCTTTTTGCTAGTAGTTGCTACGCTTGGCAGGCAGAATAACAAACGCAGTTAGTCTTTAGTGATGTTTTTAAATGGTTCGCTACTGCCCATCTTTCGACCATTTTCACTTTCGTCTATGACGCCGACGAGATAGGAAGGGGTGGTTCATTCTATGCCGGGATCACACGGCAATTTTCTTCCATATACTTAATAATAAATGTACATTATGGCAACCCTATTCACGTACACATGGATAAAAAAACTTAACTAGTATTTAGCGTTTGTATGGATACAGTCTGTCTATATAGGGGGGAGAGATTGTTAGTAATGCAGACTAGTCCCATTGCTAGCAATATAGGGTATATGGTCAGGTCTACCTCCACGTGGTCCCCCCTGGAAACCATTGTATTAAATTCCAGGTATATTTATCACAATGGGCTAACTGATCTGCTTTCATTTTCACTTATCCCTCACTGGTGCCTCGCCGGTGTATACCGATAGCGCAGGCGGGATTATTATTCCATTATCATCCATTACAAAAAACTAACTAAGTATATCTTATACATAACAACAGATGCCATTTTTTAAGCTCATACCATTAATTTTAACCATATCAACTAGTTGTATATTGATTCAGATGCATATAAAATCGACATACTTAATTCTTTTGTAATTACTAAGTAGGTATAGGTATGTACTCTATTTATTCTTGTACATTTTTTGTTTCCATAAACCGGCTAAATAAATATTGAGCGTAATAATTACTTGCGTCTATAGATAGTCTGTATAGTTCAATAACTTGTTATCAGTACCATGATACTGATTCAAAATAAATAGGTACGAATTAAATGGGGAGAATTTATTAAATTCGATTGATAAGATTAATTAAACTTTATGGGAAGAACTTAGGGGGGGGGGGGGGAGGTATTCAACGATATAGGCGTTAAAACGTATACAGGGGGAAAAGGGATTGTTAGCAATGGAGTTTAAGAGCTACAATATATACTATGAGGTCGACCTCAAAGTGGTTCCTCCTTGAAACCATCGTGAGCTAATGACCTGCACCATCCTCACCTATCAGCTCTCACTGGTGACCGACAGTGTATACTGATAGCGCAGGCGGGGTTACCATTTCATTATGATTACATACATACATATCTGTCACGCCTGTCTCCCATTAGGGTAGGCAGAAACAATGGAACGCCAAATGCTTCGATTCAAACAAACCTCTTTCGCTTCTTCCACATTCATCAATCTTGTCATACACGCTCGCCGGTTACGGGTACTTTTAATTTGGCCCTTCTTCAGCACGTCGCCTATTTGGTCGACATACGTCCGTCTAGGGCGGCCCCTACCGACATCTCCATTCATTCTTGCTCGATAAATCTCTTTCGTAATTCTTCTTTCATCCATCCTCTCCAAATGACCAAACCAACGATGATTCATTATGATCCATTACAAAAAACCAGCTACAAGTATATTTTAACTATTACACTGTTTTGTCAAGTTTTTTCTTTAAATTGAGAATTGAGAATAGAAAGAAACAAAACAGTTCCAATAGATCAATTAAGTTTATGGGGGGGTTTAACGTTTTTATGAATGAATAAGGGGGGATAATATTTGGGCCGGAAAAGGATGTAGGTTACTTTTATCCTAATGAAACAATTCATATCTACTGGTAACACGAAGAAAATCGCAGGCGCAAACTAATTATATAAATAAAAACAAACAATAATCAAGATTACAGACTAAACCGTCTTTCAAAAAAAGCGTTCACGCTCACTTTTTTACTTTATCCGAGCAGTAAGTGCTTTATATTATTCTCAATTTCGTGTATAATATAGTATATATCATATATGTGTAAGTATATTTGTTATTTATATATATTTATTCTTTTGTATATGTAATTTTAGTATGTATGTATATCAATAATTAGTAGTAACGCATTCGAGTATTCTGACACTTCCCTATGGCTGACTGGGAGAAAATGCTTTTAGCATTAAGTCCGCCATGTACACATATTTGTACGAATAAATAAATAAATAAATATATCAATGTTTGTTTCTAATTAAATTCATTATGGTTCCAAGACAGTATTAGATTTTCGCCTGGAATTGCTTACTTTCACTGCTTTATTGATAACTATGGTATGGCACTTTGGCGCCATAACGGTGGGAATATTTGGTGGGTTTATTCCGATATTAATGTGAAGTATAAAATTTTTTATTACTTGTGTACTTTAACTATGTAGTCAATTACTTATACAGACGATATTACGAGCTCATAGGTCGTTTCGCCGAGATAACGTTGGCTTTAAACACTTGTTCTGTTTCCATGCGAGATAGGTAGTACAATGTAGCTATTTTAATTAAGACTATATTACAAAAATTTAATATTTAGCAATTATTTCTCCTATAAAAAACTATATTATCAGTGAATAAAATCCTATCTATATAATATGAGGTTAGGTTTGTACATATATAAAGGTTCGAAAGAAAAAGAAACGAATACTTGAATATAGTGCAATACATAGATTAAGAACTAAGAATAGTATCTCTCTTTCTATGACATAACAATTAATTGTCTCTGTCACTTTTTCAAAGGATTAAAAAAGGCGCGAGAATGTTTATCTGTGTTTATATTAAAAACATAAATTTAAAAGGAAGAAAAATTTATTCTATATTTATGTAGGTAATTAAAATCGATACCTACATAAAAATCCGCTTGAATTGGCCAACACAATATAAGCTCGAGGGCTTTGGGTTCTGACCGCGCGTTCTATATGAAGACAGATCCATAAAACACTTGAGCGGACAGTTTTATTGTTACTGGCACGTAAACAAACGATTAAGTACGATAACACGTTTATTATGGCCATGAAAAAATGCATTATGATAACATAATTAAGTGGCTACCGACCGGTGATGGGATAATACAATGTTTAGTTTATGATAATAGAACTTTTAAGGCCTAAGTTTAGGGCTTCGTGGTTAAAATTTTATATAAGAATCCATGAAATGTAACTATAGTCGAGATCTTTATGGAAATGTAAACAACAAAATAATCGACTCAACCATAAAACAGTATGCTGATGTTCAAAAGTAGTACAAATAAAAAATCGATTATTTGATTGAATGTTTCTGTATGTGTTTGCTTGATAATTTCATTTTCTCAAACACGCTTGGAAATGTGAGCATTATTTAGACAATCTTCTTCGAGATAAATCAAAATTGCCGTACTGACCATATACATACAGGCAGTGACTGGCAAAAGTTGTATGAAAATTCATATCTGTCGTGTTTTGCGGCCGGATAAATTAGTATGTAAACTCATATTTGTCCTTTAATTTAAAAATGGATTGACCTTTTACTTCAAAACATGGCTACCAAGGAGGTAACTAATAAAAGGTTTTTTTTTTATTTCAAATTGGCTTGCAAATAGAAAGCTGTTTATTGAAAAAAAAATACAAAGAAACATTATGGCGCGTGAAAAATTATTACTGTTCGTTATTCATCATTGAACTTAAAAAGAAAAATTGTGTTTTTGATTCCGCGCATTGTTTGAGAAAAGTACTATCCAAGCCATGCCCACCACTAGGCATTGATGGACTCACGTATGTGTGCCTCGGCTACGCCTCGGCCCACATTTGCACGTTCGTCCATCAATGCCTCAGTTGTTGGCCGCTGCAGTAATGTAGTATAACACTTATCTACCTTGTCATTTTCTGTTGAAACATATACCTAACCTATAAGCTATCTAAAGGGCGTTATGAAAATTATATATAATTTGTAATTAATTTATATTTTTTACCAGAGGGAGACTTTTTACAAAAGTCGCTTGCTTGGGCACCTCTGTCACATACATGTTTCTACCGTGAAGCAGTTGTGTTTGCATGGCTGTGTTTCGTTTTGAAGGGTGGGATATGGCAGTAAATTTACAGGGTACAGAGGAATAACCCTAATAGGAAATGCAACACACGGGAGTTATCATGGCTGAAACAGTATACTCTGTTATGTCCATGGTACTGCTCATGTCTATAGGCGACGGTTACCACTTTCTATCAGGTGGGCCGTCAGCTTGTTTGCCATTTTAAGTTGCATAAAAAAAATCAACCAAATGTATTAATGAACAGAACACTCACCCCTCATCAAGTCTGTACTGCGAGTTCAACACGGTGAACATTTTCTCATATAGTATGGAGAAGAATTTATCCATCATCTGCTCGAAGTTTGTGTCTCCTTTGGTATAATAACTAAAACAGAAAACAAATCCTTATTCATATTATAAATTATGGCGGCTTAATCGATTGCTATAAAAGCCTGTCAAGCGTGGCAACTACTGGCAGAAGCGACTAAGGGAGGGCGAGAGATGGGTAGCAGCGTCGCTCTTAAAACATCTTCAAAGCCTAACTGCGGTTGCCAAATCGCCTGCCAAGCGTGGCAACTACTGGCAAACCTCCCCAAGGGGGAGGCTTATGTTCAGCAATGGACAGTTAAAGGCTGATAGGATGTTCATAGATATAGTAGACACTTTCTATCGAATAAGAGATTATCCAAATTGCATAAAAATCACCACAATATTATTATGTAAAAAGTTAAATGGCGGCAGATTGCTCATGATTAAGAATCCCGGATGGTCTTGAAACTAGTCAATTATTATTGATTAAAATACACCTAAGTGAATTACCATTTTCAGTAACAACATTTTAAAAGTAACTAAAATTTAATGTTGCAATCTCAACAAGAGAAAAAAGATAAAACAGGAAGCTTACTTTTCTAGTTGGTCGAAGAAGTCAATAAAGATGTACGAATGTTGCTCGTAGATGATGCCGTAGGTCCGTTTGAACATGTTGTCGAAACTGTATTTCGACATTTCCAACAATTTCTTAAAATAATCTGAAACAAACAAGAAATGTATATACCATATGTTTGCCATTATTAGTTATTAATGTCAGTTACTTGAAGAATTAAAAAAAAAAAACAAATAATATTAAATTTCATTTTATATAACCTGTGAATGAAGAAGGAAAGGGCAATAATATCATACCATATCATATGAGCCGTTAACTGTCCACTGTTGAACATAGGCCTTTCTTTATTGGTGGCAGTTGGGTTGATAGTCGCAGTTAGGCCTTGGAAATGTTTTAAGAGAGACGCTGCTGCCCATACCTCACCACTATACCACTGAGATGGCAAACAAGCATACGGCCCACCTGATGGTAAGTGGTTACCGTAGCCTATGAACACCTGCAATACCTTAACGCTCTCTTTTGTCTTATGACTAAATCCGATTAAGTCTTAAATGGATACTAAAAGTTTCCAATTTGTTCAAAAGACGCCGCGAATTATTGTATACATTCCTAATATCGGCAGAACAATTAGTGTAAATAACTAAGTGCTCCCTCCAAACAACGGTCACCATAATATATGATCACCCATCCATGAAATGACCATATAATACTTAACCTAATCGATTGATACGGACGAGTGCAGTTGAGATGTGATGTAAATACAGGGCAATTATATTGGGCATCATAAACTTATATCTATTAGTTGGTGTATAGTTTATAATAAGACAGTCATTATCTTGGTTCATAAATCATCTTGACACGGCCATTACCAAATTGGAGTCCTCAATATTAAGAGTTGGTGTTGTATATGGCACGTATTTAGTGAAAGACAAAGACAGGTGTGTACTTTGTAGGTAATTAAGCAATCTATATACAAGTTATATCATCATCATCACCATCATGATATCATCATATCAGCCGTTAACTGATCACTGCTGAACCGTCGTCCCCCGTCGGTGCTTTTATCAGTAGTTGGCAACCGCAGCCTTTAGTGATGTTTTAAGAGGCACGTTGCCTCCCATACCTCGATCATTAAGTTCCCTTAGTTAGTCTCTTACGACACCCACGGGAAAGAAACAGAGATTATACCATGTATGTATTTATTTTGGTTGTGTGGTTACAGTATAGAATAGGCCAAACCTTTCTTTCCCGTGGCTGTTTTAAGAGGGGACTAAGGGAATTTTATAGTTGAGGGATGGGCAGCAGCGACCTTCTTAATACATGATCAAAGCCTAACTGCGGTTCCTAACCCGGCAGACGGGTTAGACTAAGCGGCAACTATTGGCAAAATCCCCCGAATAGTAACATAGGCATATTATTTAAAAATAATATGCTTATGTTACTGGCTGATAATGTAGCTTTCGGTGTTCGGAGTAATTTTAAAGTCATCCATTATAAACAAAAAAAAACTTTCTTCTTCATAACATGAATAACAGATGTAAAGTTTGACATTCTAATATTTAAGTTATGTTTGTTGACTCGGTAAAAAGTTAGGGTACTTTCCTTCTTCATTTCGAATGATTACGATTTATAGAGTCGTTAAGTTGCTAAGTCCATATTTAGAAATAATAGAATTTTCATCGTGCCTCCGATCAAACTGTTTATAATTACTCCTCTCCATCCAAAGGTTGCCTGGAAGAGATCGATAAGGCCGCCCATTGTTTTCTCATTGTAATTATTTTTTGTAATTGTTTATATTTATAATAAGTTTACTATTTTTTTTTTTGATAGGTGAAAATGGTATGGTAACCCCGCCTGCGCTAACGGGATACACTGGCGGAGCACCAGTGAAGAGTGATAGATGAGAATGAAAACAGGCCAGTTAGCACATCATGATGAATTCATCAGGAATTAACCATGATAGTTTCTAGGGAGAACCGCGAGGAGGTCGACCTGGTTGGGTATATTGCTAGCAATGGGATTCTCAGTCTCCATTACTAACAATCTCTTTCCCCCAATAAGTTTACTATTGCACTCTTTTGGAGGAAACAATAAAGAGTATCTATCTATGAGGAATATTTACTTTAGTATAAATAGCTGTAGTATAACTAGGCTATTAGTTATCTAATGCAGTAGAGTATAAGTCTGGTACAAGGAAGCAGGAAACTTAGATGTTTTGCACTCAAACGCGCTGTAATCGATCAGGAAAGCCGCGCCTTCTGAATGTGTAAATTCGCCAACAAATTATCGGCGTATAGATGCAGACACGCACGTGTTTTTATGCAATTAATGGATGCCTAGCATTCTAAAGCGAATTTAGACAAAGCAAACAAATTTGTGATTATTTGTATGGTTAAATAGATTTGGATGAAAATGTTGTATGTGGATATTTTATAAAATGTGAAAGATTTATAATTGCATTCTTAAATTAAATCATTCCGAAGTTAATAGAATGTTTAACTGAAGAAATTGTATTATTATTGTTTTAACTTAAGATTTGTCATTTACATGACTATGAAGTACCTACTACATCTAAAATCTGATTTTACTGAGTTTTATTTATTCATAATAACTAATAAGAAGATAATTTCTGTATATCTCTATATATCTATTTCTATATGTATAAAAAGTCACTTCCCGCTGTCTGTACGCTTAGCTCATTAAAACTATGCAACGAATTTTAATGCAACTTTAACCTAATAGAGTGATTCATAAAGGAAAGTTAATACGTATATTTAATATTGCATTGTGTTAATTTCTTGAAATATGACGATAATTGTTCAAGATGTCGGAAGAAATCAAGTCGATTGAGAGCTTTCATTGAAAACGCTGACTAATCCGTTTGAGATACAACGAAACAATGTATGATGAGATTGCTTCTCTTTTATAGGTCTAAAAAAAGTCTGCGATGGAATATGTTTATCTTTTAAGGATAGTTCACTATACCCATCCAATTTATACTCGACGCAATAAGCTGATGCAAAAATATAAGCATATATACTCTACCACCCGTGCAAAGTCCATTATCCTAAGGTTGTCTTGAAAAGATTGCTCTCAGCAATAAGACCGGCTTACTGTACTTATACAATTCTATAAACTTTTTTTTATGCAACTTAGAATGGAAAACAAACTGCCGGCCCATCTGATTGAAAGTTGTAATCGTCGCCTATAGACATGAGCAATACCATAGACATAACAGAGTATACTGTTTCCCCCATGATACCCCCATGCGTTGCCATTCCTGAGGACTCAGGTGTTATTCCTGTTTACTCTGTAAATTCACTGTCATATTTCACTCTTTATACCGAAACACAGCCATAGAAACACGAATGAGACAGAGGTGCCCAAGCAAACAACTTTTATACAAAGTATCCCTCTAGTAAATTGTTAATTATCTTGCTTATTGCCAATATTGTAAAATGCAAATAAAGTATACTCATTCATTTATTCAAAGCCGTGACGGGTCGCTAGTAACAAGTATAAACAAACAAATTGGCAGGTAAACGTTAGTAACAATAATAGAGACAACAAAAACTAAGTACACTGTACTGTAGTACAAAAAAAAAAAGATTAATGTTCCAAATGACGAAATCCATAACACTACATGCAGTAAATACATTCTATGGCTGTGCGTTGACCGGCCGTAATATGTCTTCATAATTAATGCATGACAATTTTTTTTTTATCCTATTACAGATAAACAAAAACTGAACCATTTGTTTCTGTTTGCCCGCTATTTCGTACTTGTGAGTTTCAGAAGTAGGAGAACCCATGAACCAGAGGGAGACTTTCTACAAAAGTCGATTGCTTGGGTACCTCTGTCCCATTGGTGTTTCAACCGTGAAGCAGCTGTGTTTGCATGGCTGTGTTTCGGTTTGAAGGGTGGGATATGGCGTGAATTTACTGGGTACGGTAGAATAACACCTGAGTCCTCAGGAATGGCAACGCATGGAGGGTATCATGGGCGAAACAGTATACTCTGTTATGTCCATGTTACTGCTCATGTCTATAGGCGACGGTTACCACTTTCCATCAGGTGGGTCGTCTCAGCTTGTTTGCCATTCTAAGTTGTATAAAAAAAAAAGAATTAGGCCACTCTTAGATGGCGTATAAAACATATATAAAATATAAGCGTATATACAAAATATACGTGCGAAATTGGGGCGAATAGTTAGTGACGAATATATTAATCAGTACAAATCATTAGAATTTTTTTTTCAGTTAGAACAAGTGTTCGCAGAATAAGCATGAACAGTGTGAACAGAATAAGTATTCTGATTTCAAACTTTCAAAAGTATAAATTTCGAATTATATTGTTTTCTACACAACACTATTACTTGCATGCGTTATGCATAACTATGCATTAAACGTTTGCATATGCTACCAACTGTTTAACGTTGAAATCTTGGAATAACGCTATTTCGCAAACGTCCTTCCGGCGGCGGTTCCCCGCGCACGTGCGCGCGCGCATTCTACACAGCTGCTATTCGTGGGGGGAGGGGGCAATACGTCAAAATGTTATATTTAGAAAATGTTTTAAATCTACGGACGTATCGTTGGGGTTAATTTATGGATATAATACGAGATGAACGCACATACATCACGGATATTGTTAGTTATTGAAATAAATCTAATACCAAGATATTTTTAGATTTCTTAACAATAATAGTAGCAACTAACATTCTAGTTCTGGATACAGGTTTTTTTTATATTAATGAAGGACAGTAAAAACGGGAACTTGACAAAATTATTATAAGACTTACACTGGAATAAAAACTGTTGTCGATTTAGAAGCGCTATTTCTCTAAACCTTTCTTTAAAATTAAAATTTGATATATATCTTTATTATAAGAATTAATATGAACTAATTTGGAATAGATTAAAATCTAAAATATTATAAAATTATGTTATGATAGTCTATAAAACATTTTTTTCGTAAAACTATCGAATTAAAACAATACGTATAGAGAAAGGACGTCTCCGAATCGATCGCACTGTCTGTTACAAAAAGATTTATCAATGTGACGTAATCGGGAAAAAATAATCGACCCCACCATAAAAACTGTTTGCTAATATCCGATGTGCAAAGAATAGGCCACCCCTTAT